CTATTAGTTTCGTTTTGGCATTTTGCGTCGGACGGATAAATGTCGGTTCACTTTTCAAACTGTTGCCATAAAATGTTAGAGTCCTGCATTATATTTGAAGAAATTAAATAATGAAAATCTGCGTAAATGTATATATATTTCTCACATTGTCATAAAATAACGGTACATAGAGTCATCGAATTTTGAATAACGTAATCCTCCAACGAATATGAGCATGTGGAAGACCAAATTTGAAATTTGAAATTTGTTTTATGATCGATTTCCTATTTTTTAAAACTTTGACGAATTTTTGATTAACAAACTCAAGGATTTCAAAGAGAGCAATGGCAACGTTGTGCAGAAAAAAAAACATTTTTATCTCCAGCGCGTGAGTCTCTGTATCGGAAATTCTAAAGATATGCTCGTTTTAAAACTATTTTGCGATATTGCTGTTGCACTGGATCTTATGGTTTAAGTGCGAGGAACATGATATTTAATAAAGAAAGGTAACACACAAAATGTTAAAAAACGCCCCTTTGGACGTAATTTAAAATCTGAAACATTTCAGATTTTTTTTTTTTTTTTTTTTTTTTTTCCGTATAGAGCTCGCTTTGAAATGTTGAGTTTATTAATCAAAAATTTGTTAAAGTGTTACAAAATATGAAGTTCCTTTTCTTCCGCTCTTCACGACACATATTGGAGACACATATTTAATCCAAGAGCTGAAAAAATTGAGGGATGAGCATTTTCTTTAAATAGCACTTGCTTTTATGGAACTTCTATTTCCTTACTCGTGTTTTCCTCGGACTATTCTGAAATACGCTGAAACTCTTTCTCATGGGAATGAAATTCACAGACCTAAATCCTACAAATGTAAACATAGACCAAATTACTAATTTTAAAGCAACAAATATAGGACTTTTATTAATTTAATTGTTTTCTGAACAGAATAGATAATAGCATGCATATCTATGTATATCTCACATACGGAGGGGGGGCGAAGAGGAAAGGAGTCTTACTGACATAAGTTTTACTAATATTTCAATTTTTATGCATCAGGAGTTTAGTTTTTATTACTTTACTTACGCAAAACTATGCATTTTATATCGTACTCATGAAAACCATGAGCGGTTGATTGTCTTTACAGTTGCTTTATAGGAACTTCTTGTACAAAAATGTATTAAATATTAAATTAATGCTTCCATTTTCTGCTATAAAGGCATGAACGTAGAAATTTCAAGACATAAATTAAAGCAAAAAGTTGAAAATTGCAAATTCTAGTAATTCATTTCTGCTATAAAGGCATGAACGTAGAATCAAGAAATTCAAGCCATAAAATAAAGCAAAAAAGTTAAAAATTGCAAATTCTAGTAATTCCATTTTTCTGCTATAAAGGCATGAACGTAGAAATTTCAAGACATAAATTAAAGCAAAAGTTTTAAAAATTGCAAATTCTAGTAATTCCATTTTCTGCTATAAAGGCATGAACGTAGAAATTTCAAGACATAAATTAAAGCAAAAAGTTAAAAATTGCAAATTCTAGTAATTCCATTTTCTGCTATAAAGGCATGAACGTAGAAATTTCAAGACATAAATTAAAGCAAAAAGTTAAAAATTGCAAATTCTAGTAATTCCATTTTCTGCTAAAAAGGCATGAACGTAGAAATTTCAAGACATAAATTAAAGCAAAAAGTTAAAAATTGCAAATTCTAGTAATTCCATTTTCTGCTATAAAGGCATGAACGTAGAAATTTCAAGACATAAATTAAAGGAAAAAGTTAAAAATTGCAAATTCTAGTAAGTTGTAGAGATATTAGGTTTTTTGATGAAGGAGACGTGAAAAATGTGCAATGCCCTGAACGAGACTCGAACCTGGACTGCTCAAATACGCGCCGAGTGGCTACCATTACACCACGAAGGCATGTTGGAAGTAGGGAGAAAATACCTAACATATTCCCCTTTTAAAAGCCGACTGTGGGTTAAGGAAGCCACTCGCCAAATCCTTTTGTCGAATTCTTGTCCACAATTCTTTAGTGCGAGCACCACGGAAGAGTCGTTTGGTTATTTTGAAACAGGAGATGTGAAAAATGTGCAGTGAACTTGGACCTGGACCGCACGAATACGCGCCGAGTGTGCTACCGTTACACCACGAAGGCAGGCTGGAATGAGAAAGAAAATACATCATAAGACGAATATTCATGTCATTTGCCTTAAAATATTCTTTGATTAATTACATCCTGCCAACTATTGAACATTTTTGTATCAACATTCCTGTGTTTTTGTTGGGAATGATAGTAGATAAATCCCAAACTACCATTCTCGATACTTTAATTTATCAATACAGCCATATTACACCCAATAATTTTCATATTTATACCACCATTATGCACCCAAACGTGTGCTGAGAGATTTTTCTTTATATTAGTGGAAATATGATGGTATTGGATAGGAAGAAATAATGAATGTTTATATGGACGTGGTATATTTTATGACGAACACACTTTACAGACACACACGAAATAGACGAATTCTCTGAAATCAAACGCTTTGGTCGAATAATTTGGACAGCCAAATTTTCTGATTTAAATTCTCAATATAGGATAGGTTACCTAAACTAATTAAAGCAAAGCAATTCGAAGACTATCTGCTTCGGTCTACATGAGAAGGGATGTTTTCCTGATGGACTTCCTAAACGGAATTTAGTCATCTCCATATTTTATTCACTGGGAAAACCAGAAAAACTCTGAAGTGGACAGTTCTTTCGTCGGAATTCGAGCAAAGATCGAACTACCAGTGTTTAGCAATTTTACCGTTCACCTGGGGAATGGAATATTACTGATTGTGGATCCTCAGATGAATCACTGCATGACGAAGCTTTTTACAGAAAGCAAAATGCATTGGATCTTTTTGCATGAGGAGTTCTTTGTTCCGTCAAATTCCAAATAAGTGGTTTATTAAGAACATAAAATTGCGCCGTGATACGAATACAACGGGTTGGCGAAGATCGTATTCCGTATCAATGTAAAACATTTTGCTACTTGGCCCTGAAATATTCATTCCCAGCCTGAAATTTCATCATAACGTATTTCTTCCATTTCATAATTTTATAGCGTATGCATCTAAATGCGATTTCAATTTGTAAGGAATTATTATGGTACTAGCAGCTTCGCCGCCAGCCTTTCTGGCTTTTAAATGTACCGGAAAAATGGCTGAAGGGAACACCAAACATTAAATCTAAAAATTGCGTAGATTTTACTCTGTAGAACAACTTCATAAAAAAAAGGTATTACGTATAACAAAATTACAATGAAATAAGCAATATCCCTCAATACAAATATCAATTATCCTAATAAATAAATTAATCAACTTCCCTTTGCAAAATCTTAAGAACTCAAATGGTATAAAGGAGGTTAAGAACTTTGTTTCCTAAAAAAATCCCTCAAAACTTTTCAGTATCTTAAAAACAATGAAATGAGCAATAAATAACATAAAAGAATACAAAAAATTTGAAAAGCAAAATACAATTAATTATATTTTATCTTATATTTTCAAGAGAAAAAAATTACAAGGAAATAAGCTATATCCCCTAATACAAATATTAATTATCCTAATAAAAATATTAACCAACTGTCCGTTAAGGAAAATATCATACAAAACTTTTCACTATCTTACAAACAGTGAAATAAGCAAAAAATAGCATGAAAGCAACTGAAAAATCATAAAATTCCGCGTAGAATTTTACTCTGCAGAACAACTTTATAAAAAAAATCAATAAAAATGTATTATATATATAAAAAAATAACAATGAAATATGCCAATCTCTTAAAAAAGTGACATAAGAAATACGATGAAAAATTGTTGCCAAACCCATATTTCTAAAAGAATGAAACTATTTAAAATGATGCGATTTCATCAAAAATCTATCAACAACAATAAGAAAGGAAAATTGTTGCCAAAATCACATTTTTAAAGATGTGAGATGTGAGAAGTGTACTCGGAAGCTTCATTTAAAAATTAAAAAAAAAATATAAACTATTATCATTTTTCCAAAATTCTTTTTGTAAAAGCAGTCGCAAGGATGAAAGTTTAACGCGTCCAAAAATCAAAGAAAAATAAACTGTACATTTTTAAAACAAACATTTTTAGAAAAAATCCCCTTGAAAAGGTGTTAAGCTCCCTTTGTTAAATAAATTCGTATTTAATCGATTTATTGAAACACGAAATTTATTTTAAGTTCGCAAAATAGCTAAGTGCCTACGTTTCATGATGATGTGAAAATGGAGTGTGTAGAGTAAAATCTCGCTTTCCTATAGCCTATTATGTCTGAAAATGACGCGATTTCGTCACAAACATAAAATAAAAAATTCAATTTAAAAAAAAAAAAAAAAAAAAAAAAAAAAAAAAAAAAAAAAAAAAAAAAAAAAAAAAAAAAAAACAAAAAAAAAAAAAAAAAAAAAAAAAAAAAAAAAAAAAAAAACCGCTTGAGGTGCCTAGCTTGTCTATGCACCTATGTACCAAATTTCGTAGCCGTGGGTCTATTAGCTTACGCGCAGCGTGAACGAAAGACACGCACACACACAGACAGACTCTTTCTTTTATTATATGTAGAGAAGAGACTAGATGTCACGCTATGTAAATTTGTAAAATTCTATTCATCTCAATTGTATTTAAACTAGTACATCTCAATTGTATTAAACTAGTGCATATACCGTTGTTCTGGAAACAATATAGCTGCGGAACTGCAAAAATAATGAGAAGCAAACAAGTAACAACTTTTTCGCATTTAATGTAAAAAATTCATGCTACATCACGCCAGGAAAATTAAATAGAAATAAGCATTAGAGTATAAAGGCTTGCCCTCTGTCGAGTCTTTGGTTTTTAATTAACATAATGGAAATGGAAATAAAAAAAGACAGTACTTTTTTCTGTGAAAATATTGCAGTTAAATGACGTTAGTATTGTTAGGGTTAGTTAACTATGGTTTTCATTTTACTACCTGTCACAGACATCAGCATTATCAGCTTTCATAAGCATCGCCTACTGTTACCGAGGAAGTTCCTGCAATCCAACTTATAGGTATGGGCCAAACCTTTTCTCTATGCCTAACCTATTTTATTTAAAAGATCTGCTTTGGTCATTTACTTTTTAAAAATTTAACAAAAATAGTTTCAAACATTCTAAGGCAGGATTCAGAACAGCAGATCTCGGAGACTCTGCTTTCGTAATGGCAAAAATTAGTTTGCAATGTAATGCAAGATTATTTTTACTATTCATAATAATACAAGATCGTTTTTATTTTTCATAGTTCAAATTAAAAGGCTTCAAACATTTTAAGGCAGTGTCAGAAGGAAAGGTCTTGAAGACTTTTTTATCGCCACCTAAGTATGGAACAATTAGTTTGTAATGGAATGCAAGATTGTTTTCATTTTTCATAATAATGTAAGATCGTTTTTATTTTTCATAGTTCAAATTAAAAAGGCTTCAAACATTTTAAGGCAATGTCAGAAGGAAAGGTCTTGGAGACTTTTCTATCGCCACCTAAATATGGAACAATTAGTTTGTAATGGAATGCAAGATTGTTTTCATTTTTCATAATAATGTAAGATCGTTTTTATTTTTCATAGTTCAAATTAAAAAGGCTTCAAACATTTTAAGGCAGAGTCAGGTCTTGGAGACTTTTCTATCGCCACCTAAATATGGAACAATTAGTTTGTAATGGAATGCAAGATTGTTTTCATTTTTCATAATAATTCAAGATCGTGTTTTTTTTTCATAGTTCAAATTAGAAAGACTTCAAACATTTTAAGGCAGTGTCAGAAGGAAAGGTCTTGAAGACTTTTTTATCGCCACCTAAGTATGGAACAATTAGTTTGTAATGGAATGCAAGATTGTTTTCATTTTTCATAATAATGTAAGATCGTTTTATTTTTCATAGTTCAAATTAAAAAGGCTTCAAACATTTTAAGGCAGTGTCAGAAGGAAAGGTCTTGAAGACTTTTTTATCGCCACCTAAGTATGGAACAATTAGTTTGTAATGGAATGCAAGATTGTTTTCATTTTTCATAATAATGCAAGATCGTTTTTATTTTTCATAGTTCAAATTAAAAAGGCTTCAAACATTTTAAGGCAGTGTCAGAAGGAAAGGTCTTGAAGACTTTTTTATCGCCACCTAAGTATGGAACAATTAGTTTGTAATGGAATGCAAGATTGTTTTCATTTTTCATAATAATGTAAGATCGTTTTTATTTTTCATAGTTCAAATTAAAAAGGCTTCAAACATTTTAAGGCAGAGTCAGGTCTTGGAGACTTTTCTATCGCCACCTAAATATGGAACAATTAGTTTGTAATGGAATGCAAGATTGTTTTCATTTTTCATAATAATTCAAGATCGTGTTTTTTTTTCATAGTTCAAATTAGAAAGACTTCAAACATTTTAAGGCAGTGTCAGAAGGAAAGGTCTTGAAGACTTTTTTATCGCCACCTAAGTATGGAACAATTAGTTTGTAATGGAATGCAAGATTGTTTTTTCATTTTCATAATAATGTAAGATCGTTTTTTTTTTTCATAGTTCAAATTAAAAAGGCTTCAAACATTTTAAGGCAGTGTCAGAAGGAAAGGTCTTGAAGACTTTTTTATCGCCACCTAAGTATGGAACAATTAGTTGTAATGGAATGCAAGATTGTTTTCTTTTCATAATAATTAAGATCGTTTTTATTTTTCATAGTTTTCAAATTTAAAAAGGCTTCAAACATTTTTTTAGGCAGTGTCAGAAGGAAAGGTCTTGAAGACTTTTTTATCGCCACCTAAGTATGGAACAATTAGTTTGTAATGGAATGAAAGATTGTTTTTATTTTTCATAATAATGCAAGATCGTTTTTATTTTTCACAGTTCAAATTAAAAAGGCTTCAAACATTTTAAGGCAGAGTCAGAAGGGAAGGTCTTGGAGACTTTTCTATCGCCACCTAAGTATGGAACAATTAGTTTGTTATGGAATGCAAGATTGTTTTTATTTTTCATAATAATGTAAGATCGTTGTTATTTATCAAAGTTCGAATTAAAAAGACTTTTTAAGGCTGAGTCAGAAGGGAAGGTCTTGGAGACTTTTTTTATCGCCGCTTAAGTATGGAAAAATTAGTTTGTAATGGAATGAAAGATTGTTTTTATAGTTTTCCTTACCCCTTTTTTTTCTCATTTTCTTTTTATTTATTTAAATATTCTTTTGTATTTTATTCAAAATTTCCTTTTTTCCATTTTTGTTAGTTTGTTCACCTTCAGATAGAGGCTCGGTGGCACAGCAGCGCCACAGGCTCGGGGTTCGATCCCCGGGCTGTGCAAAGTTGACTCAGCAAGGTTGACTTGAGTTAATATCTTGAGTAGATGTATAAAATGCGTTCGCGTGGGGACCAAGCACCGGGGTTCCTCCAACAAGCTGACTACTTGTTCGGGGCATATGCTTACGCAGCCGGGGCCCACGATAAGGAGAGCAGATATCGGGGTACTGCCGATCATGGCCCACTTAGGCTGTTGCGCCACTGGGTTTGGTTTAACTTCACTTTCAGAGAAATCTTCTCCAGTGGTAATTATAACTGACAGAACGTATTGTGGAATAATACGATTTTTCAATAACTTGTTTATATTACATGCACGCAATCACTGTTAAATTACAAGGAAATGAAAAAGTAATACTTCATTGGAGTATATAAATGATTGATTTTCCGTTTTTCTTATTCAGACTTGGCTTACTTTATTGTTAGTCTTAAATTTAGCCATCGGAGGGCTTCGGTATTTTATGAGAAAAGTCAAGTTTCCTAAATGCTATAAGATATGGTATATTTTCAATTTAATCCCAATAATAGTAGAAATCACAATATTAGCAATTTTCTTGTATATCGCTTTGTGGCAGAGTTAGATTTCGTAATTTACCTAATCTTCCGGAAGACGAGATACCGTCACTTTTATTCGGCAAAACTGTGCTAGTAATAGATTAAAAGGGTGCACTCTCGGATTATTCATTCGAATTAAAAAAAAAATATATATAAAACTTTCCTTCAGTTTTTCGAGTCATTAGGTTATTTTGAAGCAGGAGACGGGAACAATGTGCAATATCCTCCACGAGACTCGAACCAACCTGAACCTCTAGATTACGCGCCGAGTGTGCTACCGTTACACCACAAGACATGCTGGAAGGAGAGAGAAAATACCTTATATACTCCCCCTTTTAAAGGGCGACTGGGGATTAGGGGACACAGTCGCCAAATCCTGGTAATGACGAATTATGGTCCATTTACTTATGGACAATGACGCCATTATGGGCGTCATTAGGTTATTTTGAAGCAGGAGACTGGAAAAATGTGCATTGCTATCGCCGGGACTCGAACTTGGATCTCTGGAATGCGCGCTGAGCGTGGTACCGGTACACCACGAAGGCATGCTGGAAGGAGGGAGAAAATGCTTTATAAGCCACTATGTACGAAACGTCAAATAGTTCTAAGAATTAATGAAATAAATTAAAATTTATGTGAGGCAATAATATTGAAGAACAGTTTTATACTCACTTTCATTTTTAAAAATTTTGAATTAAAACGAAATCTTATGTGGATACTCATGACTTCATTGTACGGCCTATTAAATTATACAGATATTTTGCTGTATTTCATTTAAGCTTATTTTCTAACTTCATCAAAAGATGCCTCAAGCAAGTTGAAAATGACATCAAAAATTGCAAATTTTGAAATTAAATATCCCGATTAATTTTTGCCGCACGGAAGTGAAACTTCTTATAATTTTTTTTTCTTAACGAGTATAAAGGTTTCCCTAATCAAAGGATAGGAACTGGGAAACTTAGATTTCGCTATTTGTCTAAAATTAAATTTCCTTTTAAAATAGCATTGCCAAAACATGAATATTTTCGCCATTTAAAATACTTCTGTAAGTGGAAAATAAGACTACAACCAACGCTTGCGAAAATAAAGGCCAGGTAAACACTTTAAAGCAGGATAAGGGAGTAGGTATGTATGTGTACGTTTGGTACTGATGATTTCAATAGGGAGGTGTACAACCAGATGTCATAGTAGTCCCGAATACAAAATTTCACCATTCTGTTTCTAACCGTTTTTGATTTATAAGAGATAGTACATATGCACAGGCGTCATGCGAAAACGTCCTCCAGATAGATTCGGGAATGGTCAAAATGGATATTTCAATTGAAATATGGTACCGGACATTTTTTTGGATTACAATGCTTCTTACAAGGAAGTAAAAAAACAGAAGTTTGCAATTTTATATAAGTATAAAATAAAGGAAAATCAACGATTTAAGGAAAAAAATTGATTCGATTTTCATTAATAATATTTTAATGAACTGATGAATAAGTACGGAGTGCATTATAACATTCTATTCTCAATTACCTGTACCTGATGAAATAAAGGCTAGATCTGAATATGGAGGCAGATAATTTTATACAAATGTTAAAAATCTATCAACCAGGCTAAATTAACTTTATCTTTCACGGATTGCTTTTGTCATTTTTATGCAAAGATACGTTGATACAAAGGTATTTACACAGGGGTTCTACTGCATTCGCAGTATTTCCCTGTAAACCTGAAGGAAATCCACAATGGGCATGGTGTTGAAAGCTTCCTGGATGAATCTCATGGAGGAAGCAGGGAGAGGGAGGAATAAGAAGAAAAATATCTCAAGTAAGTCCATTGAAAACTGGCGAGGGAGTAGAAAGTAAAGTCCACAGAAGCCGCCCGAGGTGATCTTCTCGTTTTTGCGTGCTGCCATCTATGGTGATTCCGTAAGTAGGCGCAGAAATGGAATTTAGGGTTAGCTGCTCGTATCTGTGGCGCCATCTATCGGTCTGTTTGGAAGCTGGCCAAGAAAGGACATTTAGGCAAAGCAAGGGGAAAGTTCGGATCTTCTGCAGTATGGGCTTCGTTTTATCCAAAACAAGAGGTAAGGTGATTAGGAGTGTAAATTCAACATATTGATGGTGTGGGTAGTGAAAAGCCTATTGTAATAGTCATCCTCTATGAAATATGCAAAGAATGAATCTTGAATCTTCAGTTTCATTTTTAGTGTCAACTACTGAGAGTTTTTACTAATATCTCTAGTGTGCCTATGGCCTTTCGTAAATTTTAAAAATATCAAAGGTCAGGGGCGTAGCTAAAGGGGGCAAGGGGGGCATATGTCCCCGGGCGCAGAATCCAGGCGCCAACTGTGTTCGACATTTTAAAATTAAATGTTTTCCATCCTTGGCCAAGCATTAGGGAGCGCGAAATCTTCAGTTGTCCCTGGGCGCTGAAAACCCTAGCTACACCTCTGTGCATGAGCACCGCGCCCGAAGGCGAAAGTGGTCTGAGTGGCAAGTCATTCAGGAAAGCAAGAGTTGGATCCAATCCAAAATCTACTAATTTTTCTATCAAGATTTTTCGTCGTGGAAATTGTTTGAGTAGGTGCTGGAAGCATATCGTCTCTGATTCCTAGCAAAGAAAAATAATCTCAATAGGGTTATTGTTAGATTTAAAATAACTAAACTGGTAGAAAATAATTATAAGATGATTTTCACCATCGATCAGCTGGATTATGACATTCGGTAAAGTAAGCGTTATGATCACAAGTATATCTTACGAAATCTTACTTCTTCCTTCCTTGTGGCGACAATATGTTATATCTTCTAGTGCACTATATTGCTACATCCTAACTTTCAGATTATGTGCCAAAAAATTCATTACCAGCACCGCATCTAGAATTCTGCTGTTTTGTCCATGCCTAAGGCAAATAGAATCACGTTTTCCTAAGAAAATTTTCTACGAAAAATCTTTCGTCTTATGAAAATAAGGATCGCATGTTTTGTTCTATTCTAAAAAAAACCAATCCTGTATGAGGATTTAGGAGATGTTCCTCGCAATGTATGATTTAGGTAATGTCCAGATTTTGTTTATATGTCTCTTTTACGTCACGATTAAATTCTCGAAGACGCCTCCTTTGAATAAAAGGGGGAAAAAATACGAAAGCTTCGTCAGCAAGCAAGATGCAAGTAGAAAATTTTCCTTTTTGACCTAACAAAGAAGTTGTTTACCGGCTTTAATCTCAAGCTGTGTTTTATCTTGAAGAATGTTTCGTTTTCTAATTACGTAGGATTAAATTCATATTTAAAAAATGTTTCTAAATATTAAATTTAAAAAGCTGCCGCCCATAAGCGGCCGAGCGGTAAAGTCGCTTAACAGTGATAGTTCGGATCTGGGTTATATTTCTGAAGAACGGGCTGACTGCATGGGCGTTTTCGTAGTTTTTCCCCATGTGTTAAGCGTATACGAGACAGTCATCCACGAAGAGGAAAAAATAGAAATGATATTTAATTGCTATCGAGGACACTGAGGTAAGATTTTGTTGGTTACATGTACGTGTAATGAGAAAGGCTGTTGATTGAAATAATTCTGATGAAAGCCGATTGCATTGGCCCTAAAGCTTGGAGCGAGTACATCAAAAAGGGCGTTTCTTGTCTAGTGCTTGCGAGCTGTCATTGGAATGCAAAAGAGGAATGTTGAAATTGATAGTAAATGCACAGGCGTTAGACGTTTATGCCTTCTATGTCAGCGTGCCCACCAGCGGCCGAGCGGTAAAGTCGCTGAACACTGGTAGTTCGGTCCGAGGTTCGAATCCCGCGAACGGGCTGGGCTGCATGGGTGTTTTCGTGGTTTTCCCCATGTGTAACGTGTATACGAGCCAGTTTCCCTTAGAAAGTCCTCCACGAAAGGCATCCCTCCTCTTAGGCAGATAGCCCTAGTGTGCTTTGCCATAATTAAATACACACACACACTTTTATGTCAGCATATCTGAACCTCTGTTTGCAATCTGGTGCGCCTTTCCTCCGGACACAACCAAGGACCTACAGAATTCATGTAGTGGCAGGATGCAGCTGTTTTAACACCATATTAGGAAGGTAATTATAATATTTTGGTTTTCAACGTACATTTGTTTGATAGGCGATATCTCGGTGATGTTTCTTGCTTTTACATGTTCTTTGAACAGAAGTATAAAAAAGTCGTATAATGGACATATTGGACTGGCAAGAAAATAATTTCGGTTTGCACAAATGAATGTTCATTTTATTATTATATATTTTTTTTTTTTTTTTTTGCCATTTGGTAGACGACACATTTAGGTTGCTATAGAAACAAATTCTGTATATTTTTGTTTTCAGCTCTTAATTTAGGGTAGGTTTAAACATGGGGAGCAAAAGTAAACGTATTTGACAGTTTGCTTTTTCATTTCCATAAAGCGGCTGAGACTCACAAAGAGACATGTGAAGTTTATGGTGTTGATTGCTTAACAGAACGCATGTGTCACAATTAGTTTAAAAATTCACTTGTATATGTCCAACGTTCTGGGCGACATTCTGAAGTTGATGATGACAAAACCTGAAGCCATAATTGAATCGAATCTTCATATAACTATGCCAGGCATTGCGAAAAGTTTAACTGTATCACACATAATAACTGAAAATGATATAAGATGTCATGGACTCTCTAAGAAGTTCGATATTTGGGTTCCGCATGAATTGGAGGAAATGTACTTAACACAGCGAATCAATAATCAAAATACGCATTTCATACGTGATGCAGTCGACCCTTATTTGAAACTATTATCATTGGTGAGGAAAAATGGATCATCTACAATAACGTTAATCGAAAAAGATTATGATGAATCGGCACAAACTACATCAAGAGCTGAATTGCATCAGAAAAATATCATACTGTCAGTTTGGTGGGAATACAAAAGTGTTGTGTATTTTGATCTGCTTCCAAGTAAGCAAACGATCAACTCATACATTTACTGCTAACAGCTTATGAAACCGGAGGAAGCAATCAAAGAGAAATAAATGGCCAGAATTGGTAAATCGGAAAGGAATCATGTTCCATCACGACAACGCCAGTCCTCACCCATCTTTAACAACACTTACGAAATTATTGGAGCTTGGCTGGGAAGTAATATCGCATTCTCCATATTCCTCGACCGTGTACCATGGGTTTATCATACATTTCGAAGTTTACAAAACTTCTGAATTCGCAAAAAAAATTCCAGTAATAATGATAGCCTCAAATCCCACTTGGTTGAGGTTTTTGCTTCTACAGACCAGAAGTTCTGTTAACGCGAAATTATGAAGTTACCAAGAAAATGGTAAATGGACATCGAACTGAATGGATGGTATTTGCAGAAGCTTATTTTTTATATAGAAAAATTCGAGCTTGTTTCACTCTAAAAACCGAAATTACTTTCTTGCCAATCCGATATAATATCGAAGTCAGGCATGTCCAAAGACATGAACAAACGATTTTGGAAAAAATACAAAAACTATTTAACTTACGTAATGTTACAAATTTGGTACTTATGTAAACAATTTTAGTGAAGTTATATATGCAACTGTGGTACTTTTTTTTATTATAAAATAACACGAAAATCTGAAGAAGCTCTGCCGGAAAAGTAAAAATACAGGAGCAAGTCTCTTTTAGTTCGAATACTTTACTTTGATTTATCTAAACTGGCGAGAAATCGCCAAATGGCACCAAACGTTACTACCATTGGCGGTACTTTGATCCGGTCCCTGTAGGTAATGGTACTTTGTAACTGATCCTATATGTAGCTGTAATCGTAGTCGGCCTTCATATGTCTTCCTGTAATTTTGAGACGTGGAAAATACCAGACATTTCTCGGTGCCGAGAGAAAACTATAAGATTAAACAGAGCACCAAATTCTCAGCAGTTGATGTCAGTACAGAGCTGAATTCGAAATACTAAGATATCCGCAAGAGCTTTGCATTTTAGATGCGCTTTGCATTGCAATATGTTTAACGTTCTTAACAGTTTGAAGTGTAATTATTTATTGCACTTTGTGGTAGTAGGGAAGGTGTAAGAGTATTTTTGTGGAATCTACCTGAAGTGTGCAATGTTTCATTGGGAAAATAAATTTTATCCAGTTCTCATCAATTCTGTGTGCATTCAATCTGTTACGAACTGGTACGTACTCAACCAAAACCTTTTCCTATATAAGGAATTTCAGTTGCTTACAGGTAGTTTTAACTCCTGCGCTTCATTCTAGGTTTCGTTAGCTAAGAAACAAAACGATTTTAAGTTTGCAGTTAGGAGACCAACTACCTAGCATTCAAACGCATAATTTTGAGATCAGTTGCCTAGCATTCAAACGGATAGTTATGAGACCAATTGCCTAGCATTCAAATGGGTATTTTTTATTGACTGTCAATTGCTAGGTTAGTAGCGATAGTATGTTAGTCTGCCGATGATCAGGACTTTGGCTTTCCTCGTAATCCGAAAACACAGTGACCTCTTTCATTAAACTTCTAGAGACATTAGGTTTTTTTCGAAGCAGGAGAGATGAAAAATTAGCAACGCCTTCGCCGGGAATCGAACCACGTATCTCTGGAATACGCGACCAGCGTGCAGACCATGACACTACGAAGGCATGCTGAAAAGATGGGAGAAACACCTTATATACTCCCCTTTTAAAGGACGACTGGGGTTTTTAGGTAACCCAATCACAAAATCCTGGGTGTGGAGAATCATCATCCACCACCCTTTTAGTTAGGGCGCCAGTGTAGAGTCATTAGGTTATTTCGAAGCAGGAGTGAGGAAAAATGAGCAACGCCTTCGCTGGGAATCGAACCACGGACTTCTGGAATATGCGCCCAGCATGCAGAACACTACACTACGAAGGCATGCTAAGAAGGCGGGAGAAATACCTTATAAACCCATGCTGATAAAATATTTCTGTTAAGTTAAATAAGTTTGAGATCTAAATTGTAAAAGTTGTCATTTATGTAAAGAAAATATCCTGTAAGAATTCTATGCTGTTTTATAGCCTTTTTCTGAAGTAATTTGTTCATACTGTTTTATACTATCAGTTAAAGCAATAAGTTTTATCGTTTCAGAATCACCCGTAACAAACTAGTGAAAATGGATGAAAGAAGCATGAATTTTGATACAGAAACAACCATGTCAAAGAGTAGCAGCAGGAAAGGCATTTTATCCGTGATTGAAAAGAATTTGGAAATTACTAATTGGAAAGTTCAGTTATTTAAGCATACTGTTTTACTTGCTTGCTTAATAGGGTTTTCAATTCAAGTTTATGAATTTAGCAAAATTTATTATTCTTATCCAACTAGAATAGACTTCGCAGTAACGGAACCTAGTGATTTCATCTGGCCAGCTCTTACTGTTTGTAACGGTGATCCGTAAGTTCACTAATTCCGTTTTCTAGCTTTAGCATTTTTAAGAATTACAGTAGCGTATTTAACATATCATGCTTCATTTACGCTTAAGATTACAGTTTTATAAAAATTTTTGTTATAGTTTAATTAATAGTGTTATTAGTTATATACTGCTAATTTTCTTTCTGGCTGGAATCTTCTGAAATTTTGTTTCGATTTTGTAACAAAATTGCATAAACAGTCAAAAGTCGTTAATTCGGACACCCATAATTCGGAATGATCTATAATCCGGACCTCAAAGCTAAAAACGTTCTGCGCATGCGCCGCGTTGACACATGCGCATAGGCGTTTACGCGTGCGCGTAAGACCTCTTACGACTGCGCATTTGAGTGTGCACAAGCGCAGAATACGTTTTCGCGTGCGCGTTTAATGTATAACGGACGGTATAAGCTAAAATTATCTAATTATCTATTTCAGTTAATGTTGATGATTGCGTTGTTCCTTAATCTTCGAATTGGATGCGGCTTATTATTTTTTTGCAGACTGTAAGAGCAATTTTATAAAAGTAAACTTGAACTTTCGATTATGTCAAATAGAATTTCCGATTCTGGAGCTCCCAAAGGATCGTACAAAACGAAAGTATGTTTCGATGTCCACAAACAAAAAGTGGAATTGCTGCAAAAAATGGATAAAGACATGAAGAATGTGACAAAGAGGTTAGTGAAAACGAAAAAATTTCGATTGACAAGTTAGTCGGTATTCTCGGCACAGCAATTAACGGGACTTGAACAGCGGAACTTTGTAACTGAACAAAAAATTATGTCTGTTTATAGAATTAAAGAGAAAGTATTATCACATAAAACGAAGCAACTTAAACAACTTACATTGAAAGAAATGTTTAATAAAGTAAACAAATAAATATTAAGCTTTTTTTTTTTTGTAAATTTTGATACCATTTACATCATAATTGTTCTTTATTTCATAAATTAAGGTTTCATATTTTTAATTTTATAATTTCTGCATGCCATCTTACGCGATTTAAACTGATGATCTATAATCCGGAAAAATCGATAATCCGGAATCGCCGAAGTGTCGACGAGTCCGGATTAACGACTTTTGACTGTATATATTACTAACATTTGTTTATCGAATGTCTAACTCATATTCATTCATAAGTTTTAAGTTTTCTACGCATTTCTCTGTTTTTTGTTTACTATATCGTCCGTAATACACCTAATTTTATCAAATCTCATATTCATTGAGAGAAATGTTTGGCTATTTTCAGCTTCCGATAACGAAAAATGTGGAATAATTATACTGTTAGAATTTCATTTGCTGTGTAAAAGTTTTTGTGAATTCAGTTTGTTTGCCTTTGTATAAGCTTATGATTGATATTCTCAAGCTTCAGCTTGTAGAGTCCACTAGATTCACTTTTATGTGGAAATTGAAATAGTAGTAACTGCACAGGAGAAGGGTTAAAAGTACTCTTTATTAACTCGTTAAAATTTACAATGCGTCAACTCGACACTAACAACTCTTCTTGGGCTGTAATTGAAATCAGGTAATGAAACTAAAAATTTGAAGATAAATACAAGTAATAGAACTACGCTACAGGGCTCAGCTAAATCCCGTTTCTTAAACCCCTGTTGGAAACTAGTGACAGCAAGCAAATGCAATTAAGCCACGCGAACCAGCAATAAGTCTGGGAGCAAACGCTGAAAGCAGCAGAGGTGAAGGCAGTAAACTAACTCTTCCTCTTTACTATTGACTTTCGGTGTTTAAAGTCTTTCTTCAACGTAGAATTTGCATTCCTTCACGCACGCTACCAAATTTAAATATTCTGGCGCTGACAATTAGGGGAATGAAAGCTTAAAGAATAGCAAATTAACTAAAATTGGTTATTTAAAATAAATATAAATCCCTAGAAACTTTTAGTAGACTATTCGAAATACGCTAAAGCAATTTGTAAATTGTGTTGCTTAAAATACTTAAACTGTTCTCATTTGTTCCCCCATTAAATCAATTTTTTCTGTCAGCTTTCATATTATGTTTTCTCCTAAATTCCAAAATATTTCTTTCTCAATAGCCCTGTTTTCTCTATTTGAGAGAATTCACTGAAGCGTCTGAATTCGGGTTAGAATTTGGAGTTTAATTTTAACTTAGTGATCATAAAAATGTCCTGAGTATAACTGGAACTTTTCACAGATTGAAGTTCTTAAAAATTTCTAAAATTAAGGGAGAATCATTTCACATTATATCTGCTTTTTGTTATAATTCTTACATTAAATAGTTCTAATTTAATTCATCAAATTATTAGTACAGAAAATTTGGCTGTAAAAGAAATTCTTGATTAGAATTAAATTGGATTGATTCTTGATTTTTGAAAATAAGTGTGTGTGTATTTAATTATGGCAAAGCACACTAGGGCTATCTGCCTAAGGGGAGGGATGCCTTTCGTGGAGGACTTTCTAAGGGAAACTGGCTCGTATACACGTTACACATGGGGAAAACCACGAAAACGCCCATGCAGCCAGCCCGTTCGCGGGATTCGAACCTCGGACCGAACTACCAGTGTTCAGCGACTTTACCGCTCGGCCGCTGGTGGGCCTTTTGAAAATAAGATTGGGAAAAAATTTAATTGTAAGGATAATAGAGAGTATTACATCAGCGTTACAACAATCAATGTGTGTAAATGTTGTGAAATATTTTGAAGCCCACTAGTATTTGACTGATGTTGGTCATAGCTGCCAACTCTCCCGGGTTTCCGGCACATCAAAGAAAACGAAGTGGCTTGCATAAGCGTTTCGTGGTTTCCCCATGTGTAACGTGTCATGGAGGTAGGAAGTAAGATGGAGTCGCCCTAAACAAGTTTCTCCGTACCCTGCTCTGAAGCACCGGCGATCCCTACGTGGTGACCAAAACATTGGGTCATTTACCATTGAGTTCTATGGGATTTGACGCGTTCGGGTGTAAATATTTTGTAATTACGTCGCAAATATACATATAAATGTATATATTTTCTTTTTTCTACAACACTTCAGAGTCCTAAGTATGTGAAAACAACATATTTTTAAACAACATTTCATTCTGAACGGAATTAAATGCTATACTTTTCACAGGACAGTTTTGTCAGAATGGTTTAATTTGAATGAAATATTTTCACAAGTTTTCGTTAATTACATTAGAAAAAAAAATTAAGGTAATTCAATTTTATTCGGTTAAGGTACAAAAATTAAGATCAAAGTTTATTGTATTATTATTTCTTTTCTATTTATAGAGCTTCTTCCTAAAATACTTTCTTAAATATGACATGATTTTTTTGGCTTCTTTTAAATCGAAAAAATGTAAGTCAATTTATAATTAATGCTCTATTCGGATCATTTTAAATTAGAGAATTATTAGGATTAAATTAAATAGTATTTGACTTTCTCTGAACATTTCTGAAAAGGAATAAAATAAGTTTTTTTTTTTTTTTAAGTATTATTTAAAACTTGTAACTGAGTTATTAAAAATGTAAAGGGAACAATTCTTTTAATTATACTTATCAGATTTTTTTTTTACCCTTCATTTCAACAATACATATTCCAAAACTCTTTATTACGTTCTTAAGTGCGCATCTCATAGCATTTGCTTTACAATACCTTTTAACAGATTGCTTTCCAATACGAACAATTCTTGCTTAAATAGTTTTATAACGTATTTGTCAACAGGATTTCAATTTATGTTTACAATTCAATATTAAGGTTATTATATATTTAGATAACATTTATAATTATTATAAATTAGATAAATTTAATCATTAGATTTCTTCACAGTACTTTCACAGTTGTTTATAGGTGAATAAATTCTTCATTTCAAATACATTTATAAATAATTTAATGAATATTTAAGTATTTTGTCAAAGGCAGATACATGCTTTTTGCAAGCACATGCATAAATACCCATACATATTTCCTATTTATCATTTCCGGCATGTGCAAATCTTTAATTTCTGTGCATTCACTATATTTTTCGTGTAAAGTAATTTACACTAATTTAGCATACACCCGAAAGTTTTACATAAAAAATATATATGAATATAATTTGAATGAAAATTATAAGTATTATTTTTAATACCCACTCAAAGGTCAGTTTTTCTTCAAAATTCCTCCACGATGGCATCTCTCTCTTTAGGCAGATAGCCCTTGCATGCGTTACTCTATTTAATAAAAACTTAATCTGACCTATGTGCCTAATTATAAAATATTTTAAACATACATAATTTTATATTTTACATTTAGCCATCAAGTTTCAAACTTTTCAAATCTTCTAGAAAATAAATTTTGGCAGATCTCTTTTAGCAATTTTCTTAAAATCTATATTTTTGTAGTGCAACAGCTTAGAATTTTATAAAACAAATTCATAATCAAAATCGCTGTTGTTAGTTATCGAAAAATAACCAAGATGTGATTTTTGCGTAAATGTCACTAAACTATACAAATTGCTATTATCCATCACACTATGAATGTTTCTTTCATGCGAGAGTGTCCCTTTTTCAATTTCTATGGAACTGTCGTGTGTCGAAATACTGTCAAGCGAGCTTCTGAATGTAAACAAAGAACACCCCGTCTGGTGACCCAAGCTTCAAAGCAGTGCTTCACTTCTAGCGCGGAATGGCCCCTCCTCCCTTTCCTACCTCCATGTAACGTGTATACGAGCCAGTTTCCCACAGAAAGTTCTCCACGGAGACCTCTGTTCCCTTTAACAGAAAGTCCTCGAGGCTTTGCCGTAATACATGAACCAAACCAAACCTGTAAACACCTAAAACAATTTTAAGCGCTTACAATAGGATTACTAATTTAATTCCTTCAGACATTAAATGGCTAGATATAAAATACTATATTTAAATGAATTGTTAAAAATAAACGAGTCATTTGGAAGGGAAAAACTTGTTATGACATTATTGATTTCCATTTAATATCAGCCGAAGATTTGTGCATTTATTTAATAAAGAAACGTTTAATTATGGAAGATTTAGATAGGTATTTATTTCAATGGATCGCTTGTTTAATCGTTTATTTGAATGGATCGTTTAAAATTAGCAACAAATGTACTCTTCAAAATCCAATACATTCTATTTTTCCAGAATATGAAAACTGAAAACTTCATGGAGACTTTTTTTCAAGTTTATTTAATAAATTTAAGATTTTATAACCTTTAAGACAATTTAATTTGTTTTTTATTTCTGCAGAGTTAGACGCGGAGAATTTTGTTATGAGCGTCCCGAAGATTGTGAGACTCCAGATAATCTGAAGGAATTTTGCCAATCGAAGTCGTTCTATAGATGTCAAGAAAATGATTATTTCTTGGTAAGAATGCTTTAAGATTTCTGTGAAAGATATTCCATAACCAAGCAGAAAAGTATATTGTGTAAGAGCTATATACCTTAAGAGAGAGAGCTCATGTGGCAATTTTCGTAATTTAATTGTGCAGTATATAGGAAAATTCTTAAAAAGCATCCAGTCCATCAATTGTTCTGCTTGCAACATTAAAAGCTAGAGAAAATTCCGTGCATTTAGCGGTTTTATTTACTTAGTCTCTTGGGAAGAAGAATAAAGCGAAGTAAAACATTAAAAAGTGGCCTGCCCTTTTAGTACTTTAATCCTTATTTTCTGTGGCTCTTTTCTGCATGACGCCTTTTACTCCTGCATTAAGGAGACTGGACAATTGAAAATACGTATTTTTCAGGATTATTTTTCATTGATTAATTTTGGCGCATCATTATTGAAAACCAAGTAACTCTGTCGAAGTACTTCTTTTGATAAAACTATTTTGTATTTTATTTTAAATTACCTTCAATTCACCGCCTTCCGTTCCTTTCTCGGAACTATAGTTCGACTTTTCCACTTCAGCTGCGAATAATTACCCAGCAAAGGCACAGTTCCAGCTAGTAAACAACTTTACAAGTAGTGCGCTTTAGCGAGTTTCATCTTCTTGGTTAATTTTTTATTATAACTCAGACTGGATTGTTCTGGAAACAGTATGAAAAGTATGAGTAAAAAACAGTATGAGTAAAAAATAAGTTAAAGATAATCCACACATGAGTTAAAGATAAGAAAGGGTGTTCCACACATAATATTTATTACACACATGAGGTGTAAATGGTTTCTGTATTCGTATTCATATTCATTGTTTCCTAAGCAAGGAGTTAAAGATAAGAAAGGGTGTTCCAATGACTGTTCTTTGGCATCCTTTTCAGCTAAGTCCTACATGTTTTACTACCATTTGGTGAACTAAAAGCGAAGCACGCGACAGTAAAATTTAAACTTAGGCTGCAAAGCAAATTTAGACTGCCCTAGACTCTGAATAAAACTCAAGTGAATTGCGATGGCTGTCAGACAGAGGTCGGTCTTTTTCAAACAATTTAAATTCCTAAAGAAGGAAGATTTTATCTTCAGTATTTTACCATCCTCGAAATCGACAAGTTTCATTGGAAGCAAACACCCGCATAAGGTTCTTTTTTTGCCCCATTTTAATAGATTCTCTGCAATTAAGCTACAAAGCACTCAATTTTAGGCTATAAATCATCACCATAAATTACTTCTTTATTTATTTAAAGCTTTTTTAGAACAACATATAAATAAACCACTTCTTGCTGATACCAGAATAATATTACATATAACGAATAACTGACACAATGACCTTTATTGTCAGTTCTCAATGGTTCACTTGAGGCGATTTGTTTTTATTAGAATTTTATACTTCAAAGTGAAAATATTGAGTTATTTTTTAATCATTATACTACATCAACGTTTCTTAATATTTTTCAATATTTTAGATGCCTAAACAGAACAACTATACCTATGAGGAAGTGATGAAATATGGTTATCCGTCTCCTTTTGATACAGAGAGGTAACAGTAAGAAACAAATATTAACGCAACTAATGCTTGTAAATTTGATGCTTTGAAATTTTTGTATATATAGTGAAATTAACGATGCGTATATCGAAGTGTAATGTAAAGAAGTTAAGAATTAAACAACCGCATTTTAATAGCAACTCTAAATTCGGCCAATAGTGACCAAGAAACTAGTTGAAATTATTTGAAAAAATGAAAGGAAAATATGCTGCTATGATTAGAGGAAATAAATTCTTTTTATTTATGATAATTTTCGAGTAGTTGATAGCAGGCGAGGGTAACAGTACTTTATCAATAATTTTAGATTAATGTAATAAATTTTTATAAACTTTGTAGTGAATTGAAATTTAAGAAAAGTATTAAAATTTACTTTTTTTGCATTAAACATTTATTGCGCTCTTATTGTTATTGCTATTTTATTCTTCTTTTAAAAATGAAACCATTCAATGTTGCGCAAAGTAAAAAAATTGAAACTTACGCCTTTTTATGAATATTTTTAAATTTCTTTACGCACATGATTGTAACCTATATACATACCTCTATTTGGATCATTTTGTCTTTTATAAAAAATATATAGAGGAAACTTAAAGTCAGTTAAATGAAAAAAAATTAATTTATAACATGAATATAAAAAGCAAATACTATAATAGTAAAATAAAAATAGTAAAATAATATTTAATTTCATTTTTCGGCCTGAAATTAAATTTAAGAAAAATATTGGAATCTGGAAATTTCAGAATGTTGTCTAATACTCCAAAATGTTTCCACTAAAGTTTCAATAAGTCAAGAAAATTTCAGATTTACAATTACAAAAATTATGAATTTTAAAATAACTTTCCTGCTTAACTTTAACTAACCAATAAACTACTTTATAAGTTTGAGGTCTAAAGGACTATAGCCAAATAGTTACAATTACTTACTAGTTGGAGAATTAATCTCCTAGGAAATCTAATTTTAGTTCACTGTAAATTAATGTCTCATGAAATCATGTGCACATAATTATTAAATAATAATTTAAGTGAAATTATTTCACCATATTATTTGGGCACAAGGCTGCAATAAACATTTCTCTCATATATCAATATTTTTTATTTCAGCAGAAAAACAAATCCGCTTAATGAAAACAATAAATAACTCTTCCAGCTGTTTAAAAAGGTACAGGAATAATATTAAGAACATAAAGTTAAAGAATATCGAATAATGACACAATTGTAGTACAGACTGAAGCAGGGCCGTCAAATGTACATTTTCACAGGTATATACTAGGTACCCCGGGCCTTGCTAACTGTTAAGCTTCCGCCCCAATTTTGAGGAAGAACATCCCGTGGGGCTGTTAGAATATCTTCCACTCTTTTTCCCCTACCATCAGTCTTTCAAGAAGACTTTCGACTCGCCTTGAATTTTGAGAGCTTCCTTCCGCACAGACACTATACGCTTACAAACATCCATGTCGTCTCCGATGTTCGAACCTTAGCCCATCAGTCACTAGCCCCTATACCGGCTGGCTAAACTGTCATGTTGGTAATAGAAATAGACAGACATTATTTATGACAGTCATAAATATTTCGATTTGTAAATTCAGGCTATAAATTATGTCCCAAAACAAGCATAACTAAGAATATGTCCCAAAACAGCATAAAAATAGATTTATCAATTAGCTAGTTTAAATTTTATTGGAAAGGAAAGTACTTTTACTATTTAATGTACCTACAAAAACATTCTGTTAATTTTACAAAGTTTAGATTGCTTAATATCTTTTTTTTCCCTTAAGATAAGATTTGAAACGACACATAAGGTATTCATAAATTTTGCGATATATCTAAACGCTTTTCACAAGTTTCCTCAGAAAACACTTTAATTCTATTCTGAATGAAATCTAGTTTCATTAATTTTCATACAACATACAATCTAAGAAATTTTCACTTCTTGTTTTGCCTCCAGTATTAATTTATTGTACGAAATGTTGCATACGTAATCAAGCTTGAAATTTGAATTAATTATTACAGCTGCAATGTTTGCCGTTTTAGTTTCAATTTTATTTCCGCACTTTTATCAAAAGAGTCACTATCTACACAGAATTTGGGAGATTTCCTTCAATTCACATTATTTAAAAAAATTTTTAATTCTTCATTCAAGAATTATATTGTTTTCTTAGACCAGAACACGAATCCGGACCATATTACTTCGAAGATCCAAATACTCGGGAAATTTTGACCTGTTTCGGATATAATGTGCATCCGGAAGACACAATGGACTTGGATCCAGTGGTTTACGGTAAATTTTATATTTTTTCACTCACTGTTTATTAAATTGTTTGATATGTTAGAAAATTTAGGAATTTATTGAATATTCTTAAGAAACTTATACTGATTATTTATGCCTTTATTCATGCATTGGAGGAAAAAAGGTTCATATCTCTATTTATGCATTAATAAGGTGATTAGATTTCGAAGTCGAGAACCTACAAATATAATTTTTTAAATATTTGTCTTTTACAAATAAATTATTTTATTGTTATTGTGGTGAAGGTAGTATGTAGGTCTGTATATATATATGTACAAGTATATATATATGTCATAATAAAAGCACAGGAAAAGACGGAACACTGTAGATGCGTGATTAGATCCATATTGAAGAATTTTGATTGCGTAGTATTTAAAGAACTTGGCAGTCGAGGCAGTTTTACTTCCATTTTTTATTTCCAATTGATATTTGTGGCCACAATCACTTGGCACTCTAGTCGTGCCTTTCCACAGAGGATTTACATTTTTTATATTGCTGAGATAGAAAGCAAGGCAGCGAAATTACATCTTAACAAAGTAGAGAGCAAAAAGCTGAAGTGCGTAGTTATGAAAGATGGAAGCACGCGAAGAGAAAAGTTTTGGTTTACAATTCGGTGATTGGTTGTCAAGAGGCATCTGGTATTAACGGTTACGTAAGATCGCACGATTAATTTTAATGACGCAATGCAGATAAGTTATTACGATTTTAGAATAGAGAGGAGGTAAAATCCTAGTATACGGTGCAGCCTTGGCGCGACTTTGAAAATTATCGCCAACACCAAAAATGATCCAAAGAACGTCTATATATATATTATACACACATAGTATATGTATACTGTACACTGTGTGTGTATATACATAGTATATATACTATTATACATAGTATATATACTATTATACATAGTATATACTATGTTTAACTACATATTTTCTTTGAATGACCCGTTAACTACTCATCGTATATGTCCCGTTTTTACTGCTCATCATAAAGTCGCCAAAATTAATCAAATCCCGTGTGCACCGGATACTAGGATTAAACCAGGAAGACTTAATGTTTATAGTTATATTATAATTCTGATTCATACATTTTTATCTTACATATATGTAATGATTTTAAAATGCGTAGATGACCGACACTGGAATTTCTAATAGCTTTCGATACTGCAAATCATACTTGCCAACCTATGACACTCAAAAATCAGGAGACTTTTTTAAGAAATCAGGAGATTTTTCACAATGTTAAAAATATTTTTTAAATCATAAAATATAGTTTTTAATAACGAATTAACTTTAAATAGTTACTAATTCTTAAATGCAAGCAACACAAAAATACCTTACACATAAAAAACATTTTTATTACTTGCATCGTTTAAGGAAAAAAAAAAGACACTTTAATCAGTTTTCGTACAAATGTTATGAACAGTGGCAGATTTTGCTTTTGTTAAGAAAGAAACTTCATAATTTTGTTCATAGCAATTGCCACGTAGGCCTGCTTTCGCTAATAAAAGTTTTTCTAATGCGTCATCACTAATATTAGTTATGCAGTTGTTGGAACTGTTTCAATTTTTCCTTCCTTTTAGAACTCCTTTCAAGATAATAATAAATATCAACAATGTGTTTATCCACATTTATTGGTAAAGAAGCTGATCCTTTTTCAGCTGCTAAATTTAAAAGGTGACAGGTGCACCTCATAATCTGCAAATTTGAATTTTCCTTTCTTAAGATGCCTCCAACAACAGTCTTCAAGCCTATTATTACTGGTGCATTATAGGCACCAAGTGCTAAGCAAATTATCCAGAGGGACTGCATTTCCTTTTAAAGTTTTAATAATTAGCTGTGCTATATTAAAGCCTGTCGAATGTCCTTCTAAAGTGGGGACAGAAAGTAAACTTCACTCAATTTCTGAAGACTCTGGATTTAAAAAAAGAAACAACAAATGGATACAGTTTTGAATCGGTATTATTGCTTCCATTCGTAAAGAGTCAGGATGGAGCTGTTTTAATGCAATCAATAACTAAAGATTTATTTTTCAAACCCATTTCTTTAACAATTGCATCTGTTTTGGACTTGCACTTGAGTATTTCTTAGCAATTTCACTATCGGGAAACATTTTTCTAAATAAAGCTGCAGCGTGATCCGATGCATTCAGTGGCAGGTGGTGCGCCAGTAAAAAGGCAGAGAACAGACATTGTGCAATAATAACTCCGAAGAAAAATTTAATTTTTCGTTTTTTTCAAAACAACTCATGTTGTCTTTGTGTTTTTGTGTACGCACATGTTTGAGAACATCCGCCCTTCCACTATGCGAAATCGAAAAATCGCAACGACAGACGGTACACATCGCAAATTTATTACATTTCCTTGAGGAAATAATGGAAGGAAAGTCAACTGTGTACGATTTTTGAAACGTACACGAGTATTTCACCTTTCTCGCAGACATAACAAAAGATGATAATTTCTAAAACTATTTCCCGAAGTCACGTGTACTCACACAACTCAGGACAAGATGAACGAAATAACTAAAGAACATACAACTAACAGCTTTGAGCTTGCTTTATGCTCATTGGCCGATATATGCCAGATGACACGCAGTGGAGCTCGATGCCCATTGGAGAACAACTTTTCTGGATACGTATGCTCTCACTCACAAAGCAGAAATTCTCATCTGATTCGCAAGGTTTTGTTTTAGATATAATCTAGATAAAATTCAATTGCTTTCAGACGTACAAAATCACTTTTTCCCCCCGATATAACGAAGTATTAAGCCAAGTTCCATAAAAATCGTGAGAAATTTTAAGAATAAGAAGAAATATATTGTAAATCGGGTTGGCGGGAGAGTGGTTGAAAATCGGGAGTCTTCCGCCTAAATCGGGTGAGTTGGCAACTCTGCTGCATAGATGACTGAGAAGACCGTAGTGGCTGAAGGTGGTAGAATGGAAAGCATGATGGCGCAATTTAGCACAACTTATCTTGAAATATCGCAATCGTTATTTTTTTTACGTATCCCAAATAATCCTTTTTTTTTCCGACAAGATGTTTCCTAATTATATTTGAATACAGAAAGTTGCATTTTGAAGTACGACGTTATCTTCAGCAAGTAAGCAGCAGCAGCATGGATGAATAGCGTCTTGCCAGCAGCAGAGCTTATGCGAAAAGGGAAAAGTATAATAGAACTTCAGAGGAAGAAAGCTGGGAGTCGGAAAAGTTTCAATTCAAAGTTTTGGTTTACAATTAATTTGATTGGACAAGAGGTATTTGCATTAAAATGTTACGTAAGATAGAAAAATCTGGAACCTGTAGGAAGAGATGAATTTAGGGCCAGATCAGTAAATTTAGAACGTTAATTTTGAGGTCGCCAATTATATTTTTGAAACAACTTCAACAGGATACGTGGTAGTCCGCATCGCGGTTTATCACATGTGCATCGTTTCTTCAAAAGTTTTTACCAAATCACGTATAGTATTTATGGGACACGAGGGCCTCTTTTTAAATTACGGTTTCGACGATAAACTCTCATTACCCCGGCAACATTTTTCTCGTCCAAATAATACAGCTTTATTAATTACCTCATTATTTATTAGTTAAGTGTCATCTTGTTACCACGTTCGAACACTTGACTGAAGAAATAATCTTCCCATACTGCTTACTAAAAGTTTTCTACTAGCAATGCCTTTCTTCTACTATTTGGATAGCCCTCGAGGCTTTGCCATAATCACACATACATACATACATTCTTCTACTATTTATCCCTGTGAATTATGCAAAATGCGTCAATGGACGTCCACTCTGTGTTGTCAGTGGTCCTTTACAATGCTCTCCGTAGTAAATATTTTATGTCAGTCATTTTCGTTATTCGTGTATCGTTCCAGTGCCATTTATGGTTTTTCTATGCTCTGATCAAATTGCGGAGGAAAAGAATGGCGTTGCCGTTCAAAAATTTTGAAATGTTTTCACTCTAACTGTAACCATCAGAGCTCTATTCTTTTAAATCATCACAATCTCGAGCACATATTTTCATGTTACAATATCTGATAATTTTATTTCCATTAATTGAGAGGATAGGCACCTAAGGGTTCATGCATCGGGAAAGTTTTCCTATGACCACTCAGTATTTTCTGTTTATTAAAATATTCATTTAATGAATTCTGTCTATTTAATTTTCCCTTTAGGTAGACTAATTTTTTTTCTGAATCCACTAGAATTTCTTTGTGCAAATAAATCTTTAGCAATATGTCCTAAATTACAACCGAATTGCTTTAAGTTTTTACAGAATTTAGAACTTCGTTTAAAGACAGGGTCCCTTCATCTTATCCTTTCAGTAGAATTGAGCTCCCTTTTCAAAAGCATTGCACGAGATTTAAGAAAATTTTTCTTTCACTTAGCTTCAAATTGAAGATCGTCGCCGTCTTCAAAGTTTGCGTTAATCAGTACTTAATTACGGACTTAACTCTTAGACATCATTTCCATTCTGAAACAAAACTCTACCTTCATTTGTACCTTAATCTTCAACACACAGTTTATCACTTTTCAAGAAACTAGTCTTTACTATATTCTCATTTACCATGCATCATGTTATCTGTTCAAATGATCATGCATCTATAGCATATTCGGCTATATCAGTTCAAGAAATTTTCGGTACTATTCCGTTTTGTGGACCGCAAAAAATCGCCAAACTATTGTTGATGCCAATGCTGCCAAAAATAATTGCGGCAATCCTAAAGCAAGAAAGGAAGTATAATAGTAAATAAATATCTAAGATTATTGTTTTAATTTATATGAAAGATTAATTTCGTATAATTCTTTTTTATTATTATAATTTATATAAAAAAGGCTGAACATAACTGAATGGATGCCTACATCGCTATTTCGCTACCGAGTTATCGCTAAAGCATAATTTCATCTCGGTTGTTCAAACATAATTTTCTATAATGAATGATGCCTTTTTTTTTTTTTTTTTGAAAATATTCTATTGCAGACTTTTCGTGACTGGGCAATTCCCAAATTGTTAAATCCATAACGTTATTAAAAAAGGATTCAAAAATTAAAATAGTATTTCAATGGTGTCTTAAGAAATACCGAACTATCTAAACTTATGCAATTTGAAATCAGCGCGTACGCTAGATTTGGCGAGCTGTTATATGAGCGCGTTTGCTCGATTTGGCGCTTTTGCGCACACATTTTCGCTGCAATTTTTTTACGGTCCGCAAAACGGAATAGTACCAATTTTTTTTTATCAGTTCATCTACATTCCATATTGAATTCCTGGGTATAAAAATTTACTTTTGGAGATACTGATATTGAAATCTAGATATACAGTATTATGATTGTCTTTCATTAGCTACATTATCAGGCAAAAACAATAAATCAACGCTATTTAACGAAATTTCTGAGAAGAATGGAGCATTTTTCAAAACTTTATAAGAATATTCTTTTTTTTAATTAAATTTAAATTTCCAATCCAGTCAGTAAAAACGTCTGCCAAGGATATTTTTCGATTTCATACAATTAAAAATTACATAATGTAAAAAATAAAAGTATTCCTTACTTAGATTTTTTTCTTTTTTTACTTTCCTTACCCCCCTTTCCTCCCCCTTTTTTGATTGTACAGATAGTAATAAAAATATCTATTTACAGATAGAAGTCCATTTGAAGGTCCGACTGCTTATCATATGATATACCTTCAGTTTCATGTGAAAGATGTATCTAGAGTTGATCGTCCTCACATCTTCTTTTCTATACATTCTCCGCTAGAATACGTAAATCCTGCCGTTAGTAGAGATTTATTTCTTCCTTACCACCATTACACATTAATTATCTCTACAGTAAGTACATACACTATTTTAACTGCTTACTGCTATTTTTTAATGCTTAATTATTATTTCAACGAAATGGATTATCTTTTGCAATAATTAGTTACGCATTATGTTAGAACGTCTTTTATAGGGAAAATCGTGAATATTTTCTAATGAAACTAATGAAACTTCCAGTATTTATGATAATGAAAACAATGAAGATCAGCTAACCTTGAAATCCAGATTAGTTTAAAACGAATACAACTCATCCTGTACACTCAACAAACAAACAACACTGTAACAAATTCGGCTAATCTTGCAATTGTTATTCTTTAAAACTGTTGTCAAAATACTGAATGCGTTTATAAATATTTGTTTAAATAAAGTTTCTTTAATAGATTTAACTCTCCTAAGAAAAATCAGAATATCCAAGATAAATTATCTTTCGTTTATCCCTTTTAAGTTGTCTCACATTATCGAAGAATTAACTGCTCGAGCCATAGATTCATGGGTTGTAAAATTTAATGCTGCTGCTAATAAACAATGGAATATGATATGATATGGAATAAATAATAAAGAAGAAATAAACTAATAAATAATTATAATACTCTTAATACACTTTTGCTCTTCCTTATTAATGTAAAATAAAACAAAAAACAGAAGTTTATAAGAAAACACGGCAAAAATTAGAATAAACCAAAATTAAAGAATTAGAGAAATAAAAAACTAACAGCTTTGCATGTAAGGTTCGTTAATGTAATCAAGATAATTTAAATGACAACAAGCCTACAAGAATAAACTAAGCATATTTACATTTTAATTTTAAAAGTCCCAAGGGGCAGCTGAAAATGTGCCAATGTCATCTTCACTTGAAATTTCCAGGAAGAAGAGCACAGACTTCCCCCACCTTATGATACTGAATGCGTGGATTATGAAGGGAATTGGCTAAAACATAACAGAACTGGGCCCCGATCTCAGCAGGTAAATGTTTTCATACGTTATAGCATTACTTAAAAAAGAGTAAAGATTTTCTTTTTTAATCCTATGTATTTAAATAAAAGTATTTTACAGAAGCTCTATTTTCATTTTTTAAATTTAAAGCTTTCATTACGAAATAAAATATTGAACGACCTCTGTCTGGTAATTTTAGGAACCAATCTTATATATTATTATAAGAAGGAACCAATCTTATATATTATTATAAGAAGGAACCAATCTTATATATTATTTAAGAATCTTATATTTATTACCAATCTTATATATATCTTATATATTCTATATATTATTATAAGAAGCAGAAAAATGCTTTGCATAAACCTACTGTTGTCATGTTACTTAACATCGCAGAATTTCTTGCATTTTTCTTAGTGTTTCATCATTTTTTAATTCCCTGTATTTCAGTCTCATAAAACTTTTACATGATACATTAGCATATCATGCATACATTTAAACATTACCAGTTAAATATGCAAGGGGCTTAAATTTACTAGCACAACTTGCATGTCGGACGATTCATTTTGAGAATTTCGAACTTTTTTTTTTTTTTTTTGTTTAAATATGTTCCATTATATGGTTTATAATTCTCCTTGAATATAAATCTGCAAAGTAAATAGCTATTTACATACATATAACATGAGAAAATCTAACTTAAAATATATTACACACGAGACGATCTAAAATTTCCAAGGACTCTGTCGCCGAAAATCTCAATTACACGATTGCACAGTAGCCAAAGTTTGGACGAATAATATGTAGTTACGAAAGACAGCAACAAAGCAGTATGGCATAGGTGCATTTAATTAGTGTGGACATAGATTCTGTCACATCATTTTATCGTAGTTTAAAAGATTATCATGCTATTCATCTACTCGTAGATCCAAATCTAGATATTTTCTTAAGTTCTGTCTAGAACTGTCTAAATTTAAAACTTAGTTCTGTCTAAATTTGAAAACTGTACTGTATATGATAATGAATAAATACACAGTGAAAAGGAGTTCAAAAACTAATCCGATTGCGCGATGATAGCAGCAACAAGTGGCGGGAATAATCAATCAATCAATCCATACATGTATTGCCGGGCTGTCGCTAATATGTGCAATGTTGCCGGCTCAATGACAAGTCTGCCCAAGAGGCGCATGACGTAACAGTCGGACAGAGTAAGAAGAGGTCTGAGAAGAAGAGAAGATGGGGGGGGGGTGACCATACACAAGGTTTTAGAAAACCAAACAAGAACGTGTGTGTGTGTATTTAATTATAGCAAAGCACACTAAGGCTATCTGCCTAAGGGAAGGGATGCCTTCGTGGAGGACTTTCTAAGGGAAACTGGCTCGTATACACGTTACACATGGGGAAAACCACGAAAACACCCATGCAGCCAGCCCGTTCGCTGAATTCGAACCTCGGACCGAACTACCAGTGTTCAGCGACTTTACCGCTCGGCCGCTGGTGGGCCCCAAACAAAAACGATGACCAGGAGAGGTTTGACAAGAGTGTCGGTATCTGACTGATGTTAACATATACATAAGAAAATGCATAAAATACAAAGTTTTATATACTAAACTAAGTCAGTACGGTAAAATGAGAATAAATGTGAAATATAAAATATACACATAACTATATACACATATATACATAAGGTGCAATTAAGTCGGGAAATTAATATATTTACTTGTTTTGAAATTGAAACGTATTATTTTGTCAAAAAGTTATACTGCTGAGTTTATAAATTTGCAGATCTAAATAATATGCCAAGATATCATCTTTGTTAGTTAAGTTTAAGACATTTAGGGAAGGCGCCTTGTTTATCAATTTTATTGCAGTTATTAACTGCAATGGTGTCACCTGTGTATCTGTAGGTAAAACTGAAAAGTTCTAGTTTATGGTAATTGTTAACAAATTGTATTCTTTAACAAAAAGGAAAAGTTCCTAGATGACACATGATTAATTGATACCCATAGGAGTACCGTCAAGTTGTAGAAAATTTTATTGTGGCATATAAGAAAATTGCAAGAATGCATATTTTAGATAAGATCGAAATTATCGAAATCAATCAATCAAAAATGCGGAAAAATTTCGTAAAGCTGAATTAAACTAATGTAAATTTAAGCGGCAAGATGGTGTATGAGTTCTCAAAATCATACCAGTTAACACTGAAACTTTGTTTCTTTAACGTACAAAATTGAGAATTTATTATAGTGAGTATAGTATATAGTTATTGATATATTTAATTTAAGTTTTTAGTGATATGCTTTAAATCCATTAATAAGCGTGTTTTCTTGACTTTTAGAGATGTGGTAAATATATTTAATTCATTAATAATTATTTCTTGACAGAAGTTTTACAAATAATACTAAAAAATGTTGTTATCTTTGTCAATCGTCGTAATAATAAATTGGGTTTTAAGCTCTTGTATATTTTATTAAGTTCTTTGTAATTGAAATTCATGCTCTTTTCATAATTGAATTGAATTTTATTGATATTATTCTTAATGTCACTGTAAACATGATGTTTCCATTCGTCAAAAGTGTTGAGTGAATAGCTGTAGTAGCTAGTAGTAATAACAAATTGGTCAGGGTTGTGTTTAATCTTTTAAAGATAAATATCCGTACAATGATTTTAGTTAATTCTGAGCTTGGTACCGAATCTCATGAATTCATTAAACTGTTTGATTTTAATAATTTTATGATCTCCGGTAATAATATGCTTGTGATGCTGCTCAATGCAATTCTCAAAGTACGATTCATGACAGAAACAAGTGCTTCAATAAATGCTCACTGTTGTAGTTCGTAATAGTACTACTAAATTTTTTATTGTACTCAAAGCAAATGTAGATGTTTGAGTCAGTATTTGGGAAATATTTCTGGTACTTTTAGAGCATTTTGTCAAATTCAATAAAGGCATGATAAATGGAATCAATTTTGCAGTAGGTAATATTTTTAGCTTCAGGTTTAGAGGTTTTGTATATAATGAGATCTTTAGCGAGGCTAGTGAAAGTTTTAAAGAATGATAATTTATTATTTAAAATATTATCAAATTAATTCCTTGTTTCTTAGTAGAAAGACGGTTTTTTAATTCCTTTAACAAAGTTATTGCTATTGCATTTATTAGTAATTTCATTGAATAAGTCAGAAGATGAAGCATTAAGCTTTAAAATACTTTTTACTGCCCCAGAAACCTTTATTAGTTTTGGTTCTGAAAAATTTCAAATTTTCCTAAACGCTGATATTTCTGTTAAGTTTATGTTGTAAATGAAAGTTAATGTATTTAGTCCATACACATAAATTGTTTTGAATTTCAGCATATAATAATTTCCTTGATTAAATCTTTCGTTGAATTTTAACATATAATAATTTCCTTGATTAAATCTTTCGTTGAATTTTAACATATAATAATTTCCTTGATTAAATCTTTCGTTGAATTTTAACATTTAATAATTTCCTTGGTTAAATCTTTCGTTGAATTTTAACATATAATAATATGCTTGATTAAAACTTTCGTTAGTACTGTATACATATATATACATGCTCTGTACTGTATAGGCATGTATTTGTAGATGTGTTCGAGAAACAAAACGAATTATAATCTAACATATAAATTGTGACTTGTATTCATGAACGTGTATGAATTCCAAATGAAGTGAACTGTGAGTTTTATTTACAATAAGCTTTTAACCTGATTGATTAATACGCAAAAGGTAAATTTAAATTTGACTATATTATTTTGAGGACTTTCTATGTTAATTAGAGTTATAATAAAATTAAAAACAATAAATAATAATAAATAAATACAGTTTGAAAACAATGATTAAGCTCAATAAATATTTACTGGTTGTACCTTCTAAATTCCCGTTATAACAGAAATTTATTGCAACATTGCGGTTTATATTTTATTACAACATTGTTTACGTTTAAGTTTCTGTAATTTAGATATGCCGTGACAGATGCCGTTCCAGATTATCCCTGCAGTGCCATAACTGTGTTCATCCTGTAATTACTGTTCCAGAAAATCGAACAATATGCCCATGTAAGTACTTGAAACTTAATTCAAAAATTCTCTGCTAAAAATTACTTTACCTTTGAATTCTTAGAATTAAAAAATTAAAAATATTTTGCTTGTCTAAATATACGGCATTGTGATAGTCTCTCCATTTTTAACAATTCTTAGATGCAACAAAAACTGCTCCTTAGAATGAAAGTTTGTAAACGTGAATAGTTTAATCGAACTAACGTAGATTAATGAAAATCGTGCAAAGTGTAGGTTCATCGAACTACAAATCTTCTGTACTTAGAGCCAGTTTCCGGCATCTGCATTAGTGTGCGAAACGTATGCAACAAATACATTTTCAACATACATCGATGAAACTGTTGTAAAGGGATTTTTGTGATAAGTGCAATGTAAAGCCACCTCAGCAGAAATTTTATGCATACGGCAGATGTCAGTCCCAAGATGTCAAGAGGTATGTCATGGCATTCAAAACTAGAGGAATCAGCGCGCGCACTGCAAAGCAGCTTAAAAAGGGTTTATTTCCAGGCCTTCTTCTGCAAATAAAAGTGAGAATGTATACGTAGTATGGCTACAAGTAAACATCAGAACTGCTTTAAACGTGGTTAAAATAATTGGAAAGCTTGAGAAGGGGCGTAATTTGACATCTGTCGCCCAATAGTTAGGAACTGATAAACGTGTTATTTCAGGAGGATGGAAAGCCTTCCAAACGGAAAACATAGCTTCATGAAAGGTTGGCAGCAATCAGCCAAGGAAAGCAATGATGACTGATGAATGATATATCATCGCGCTGCATACCATAAACAGCAGCCAGTCGGCGTTACCGTTTTCCATGATGTAGGGTAATACGAAGCCTGGACACCTCATCAATGGAGTCCCACCCTTTTTATCGACGAGAGTGATCTCAGTGTGACAATGATTCTCGGCACCAGTTTGTATGGAAAGAGGTAAGGATATACTTTTAGCTTACTACGATAAGGGGAAAAGACTGCTGGAGTGGTCCTGACGTATTTGTAAGGTGAGGTGGTATGATGAACGATCGAACAAAGCTGCATAATTTCGACAGAAATTAATTTACTCGAGATCGTTGCTGTGAAGAATTATTCTCCTCCACGCTCGTTTTTTTCGGTGTGTCATTGGTCCCTATTTTGGTTTTATGGATGATAATGCACGGCCACACAGAACTCTTGGAAAGTTAAACTTGAGGAGCTCCTGAAAAGTGAAGATAGTGACAGGATATTCTGGTCAGCGTGCTCCCCTTATTTAAATCCTATTAACCATGTGTAAGATACTTTAAGCAGACGCCTGGCTGCACGTTCTTACTCTCCGGAGAACACTAAATAACTGAAACAGATACTTCTCGAAGAATGGAAACTATTATCCAAAAAAATATTAGATAATCGAGTGTTGAATATCGATAGACGGTGCAACGCAACCATTACAGTTAAGGGAGATCTTATTCATTATTAAAGCTTTCTTCTTCTCGCTCTTCCTCTTAATCAGACAGTCTTTTGTATCAGCATTATTCTGTCAACAAAGCTTTTTACTACTCGTTCCGCACTCGATGTGTCTTATTCATTTTTTGCTACTATACTTTCCTCATTTTTTAAGTACTACTGTAGAGTTGCGCGCCTCCAACTTGCACGCAACCAAGAGGGGACTGTTGAAACTGGATAAATGACAGAGTCTTGCTAAGGGTTTAAGTCCCTTTTTATTCAACGTAATAAATTACAAGTGCGTGCTCTTGATGCTCACAAACTACGCCAACTCGGCGGTAAAATAAAAATAAGAACCTGAAAAGAAACTAATAACAAGACTCTAATTACAAGGCTCTCTAAAAGTAACTAACCTCACCGCGTTTTACAATACAGCTGCTAATTCAGCAAACTTTGGAATATCCCTATGAATGATTAACAATTCTCCTAGGCAAGCACACAGGCCGAAACGTGGGGTTCTTCAATTTCTGGCTAACTACCTCCGCGCTCGTGAAGTAAGAACAGCACACCTCAAACTCGTTCCTTTCTATTTAACTCAGAATACTTCCGATGATAATTTGAATCCTTGCGCGTTCTACTAAAAATTTACATACTCTGGCATTGGCAGTTCCAGGGGAAAGTAAGGCTTGACAGGAAAGATAGTTTAAACTTAAAATAAATGTTAGTTAAAATAAATATAAACCCTACACTACATTGTGTCTCTTCCCGTTAGAATTTCATGTCTCCCAGTTGGTTGTTTGCGAAATTACGGCCAGAAGCAGAAACGTTGCTTACGTTTTGCTCATTAGTGTGGTAAAATTCTTGAGCTTTAAATGGACTTCATGAACAATGCATGTTTACTCCATTGAACTTCAAACAACAACAAAAGTGTGTGCTTTATAATAGTTTTAATTGCTTTTGCTAAAGTCATTTACAAATAATAACATAATTTTAATGACTTATCAATAGTAATATGAGAAAAAAATTAAAGAATATGAGAAAAGATTGCATTTGTTATTGGTATGAGCTTTAGATGCCTTATACAGAAGATTACGACATTACCTAGTTCTCTCCGAATTTTGGAGAAAATCCTCCACAGAAGGGTTGCCCCATCCTTTTAGTCATGCCATCAAACTACTCGAGAAGACTTTCGGCTAACTTTGCCTTTTACGTGGGATCAAACCACAAAGGCATAATACATTTACAAATAATGAAACGTTCTCCAGGATCCGAACCAAGTGCTATCGCTACAGCAGCCAGCATTTTTAAGTACTATGCAGAGCGAGGTCGTGTATGCATAACGTTAACGTGTGGTCTGTTGCATTAAATTAAGAACTTCAGGGTCATTTTCCGACGCTCGTCTTTCCTCAATACCATAGGAACGACAGCTATGGCAGCAGGTGAATCGTGTCGCCTAGCCTCCCTCCTTCAATTCATTTCCAGCTAGGAGAATGAATTTCCAGCTACGCGAATGAAGACTGCCTTGAACTACAGTCTCAGTTGAACAGGAGGAAATAAATATTGTGATGACGACACGTTACGATGACGGTGATGACGACACGTTACGATGACGGTGATGACGACACGTTACGATCAGCAATAATGAGGGCTGGCAACTGTCTTGAAGTGCCTGTTTTTAAAAAAAGTTTGCAAGAAACAGCAACAAAAGTCTTGCACTTAGCTTCAAACTCGGCGTTTCATTAAACGCTGGAATCTGAATATTTGAATATCTTCTTGATACGCATGCTTTCGGTAAAAAGTCATCCTAGCTTGTGATAAATGAAATAAATGCGATATTGAAATTCGACTCTGAAAGTTCTTCAGGGAAACTCCTAAGCTGGCTGGTTAAATTTGCGTTTTCAAAACACGTGAGGCAAATGTACTTAAAGGGAGAGATGCATTAGAGAAGAATTTTTAAGTAAAATGCTTAACTTTTGCGCTTTTCCCTCCCAGGGACCTCTGACAATTAGTGAGAACAAGCTGAGAATGGGAAAAAATTAGCAGAATAATATTCAGACAAAAAGAGCTGTTTTGGCCATACTTTCAATGACTGAGATAGAGATCGAATTTCGTATTTATTACAGTTTATGAAATTTGTAAGTGTTACAGTGACTGAATCAGAAATTTTGCTAATACTATTGAATTCAATTTGACTAAATGTGGTATTTCCTTTGATTTTCAAGAATCAATTTTAATAACAGTTTCAAGAGTCAAATTTAATACCAGTTTCATCAAGAGTGGCATTTAATTAGTATGTTTTAAAGCAAGATTTATAAAATCAATTATATATAAAACGGATTGCCAACATTAGAATTTTTGCGACTTGACTAATAATGGTATTTTTATGCGACTCAGTTCTTCTGTTCAGGATTCTTGCTCCAGTGCTTTCAATTACGCGCCCTCCTAATTCAAGCAGTAACAAGAAACTACTGAAAGCAGTTTCTCATGAATATTAATATTGATTAAATCGTCCAAATTTGATGACTTTACGATCAAATAAGTTTGAAGAAATTCGTTCCAGCATAACAGACAAATCAGGTAAGGAAGTTCTTCTGGTGCAAGTTGGTTGATGATCCCCATTTTCGTTCTGTCTCAAAACCTTAATTTTGCGGAGACTTTACTAGTCGACCGATGAAGATAGAGTAGTACGCGAAGAGACCTGGATTGCAGTGGGATCTGGAGTGAGAGATCTCTCTCAGAATACGCAGTTCACTTCTCTCTGCTAAGGACTAAACTCCTACTTCACTACTCTGGAGTATGCGGAGACACACTGACACCTATATCGATTCTACTAATTTGTTCTGGCTTGTTGAAACGTTTTTGTGCATCATGAGAACGTTGTGCATCTTAAAATTGAAAAGTTGACTATGGGAGTTTAGTTGGTTTGCGAATTAGTTGCAATGATACCATCAGTATTCATAAGTAATACATTCTTTCAAACTTAACTTAGGAATATGTCCCTAAATCACAAGTATTTGCATAATCGTGATTTTCACACCTTCTCACTCTAGGCACGATGCACGTCATATAACTTGACTTAGATCGGAAATTGTTTAATTTCTCTTATTTAATTTGAAATGACATATGAGAAGTTCAACCTCATTCGAAACGGCTCTAGTGTAGAATTGGGTGCCCCTTCGATTGGCGACATTTTTTTTTTAAATTTTGGCGATGTAACCTCACTTCTGGTTACCACGATAGTTTTAACTTTGTTTTAGCTTCTCGATTTTATTTAAATGAAAGTAGATTGATGTGTACGTGGACATATTTAAAGCAGTGCGCAATGCCTAGTTTGTGCAATTCTAGGATGTTTTTTTAAGTAAAAACAGATCTATGTGTACATGGACACAGATCTTGTGCAATTCTTTGACTTCTTATTTTGGTTTTCTGTAGCTGACACCTTGAAATTGTGCCTTCCTGGCGCCGATCTTGGCGTCAAAAAAGAATCTCCAATAAACAAGGGGCACCCAATTGTAAACTTTTAACCTCGAAACATATGATACCCAAATCTCTTTAGTGTATTTGTCCCTGTATAATTGTATCATCCGTCGTTGATGTTCAGTAGATAGTATTCTGTTGACTTGCTGTCGCATACCTTCAGTAAAACTTAAAAAAATCACGAATTTGTATCTTGATTGAATATCGTTTATTCCCTTCTTTAAACGCCCGTTGAATGACGAACGGCCACTTGCTAAACAGGGCGAAACATCGAATTTTACCTTGCTATCTCAAAGGAACATCTGCATCGTTAGAAAAATAGTAACTATCCACTGAACATGTACGCAACGAGTGATGGTGTACCACCGGGGTGCCTGGGTCAAAAGACCCTACCCCCAATCGAAAATGCGCTAGTTCGAACAGAATGCAAACTAATAATATGCCCAAGATTTCTAATAAATTTTTTTTATATATATTTTTTTCTAATTTTTTAATCATAAATATAGTTTTTTTAACAAGAATTTTTTATGGGCTTAATAATGAAATTACGATGATTAATAATGATCGATGAGAGGGTACATGATCACATGGAAAAAATGTCGTCCAAGAAAGTTACTAGCAGAACAGAAACAACAGTAAATAGCAAAAGTAATGCAAAAATTTGGCAAGTGCAAGACCCAGTGTGCAATATTAAATGAAAATATGAATACATCCATAGAATAGTTTACATATACAGTACAGCTAAGAAGTAACATTAATACACATTGCAAAACATGCCATACAGAAGGTATCAAGGTATAATTGAAGTTAGTCAACAGCGTCACTAAGAATGGCCATAGGCCTTCTGATGTTACATTGATCATTTACATCATAATCATAAATTTTAATCACAGGGTTCCTAATGGACTCCAGGTCTTCGTGAAATTTTTTGGCCAGTCGGTAGTAAAAAGTTCTAATATAATCAATTTTCAGTTCAGTATGTAGTCTGCGATTTCGAACATACCATGGGGCATTGGTAATTAGTCTCAAACCCCATTCTGTGCATCATTTTCCTTAAAGATCTACTAGAATAAGTCCACACAAGGCAAGCATAACACAATAATGGACATAGAAGGGACTTGTAAATGAGTAACCTGTTGTCTATAGAAAGAACGCTGTTTCGAGCTATTAAGGGGAATAGTGTATGTTTACGTACTCGAAACTTTCTGATAATACATGTAATGTGTGGGGCCTATGAGAGAGTTTTATCGAGGATCACCACAAGATAGAGAACTTGCCGGGACCAGGTTACCCACTGAAGCTCCAGCCGCAAGATTAAATCCTAACTTACCTTTGCTTCGTTCCTCAGCTCAGTGACAGAAAATACAATTGGCATAATATCAAACAATGAAAGTTGACTTTTTTTAACGCAGTTAAATTGCTTTGTCAGTGATATGCATTACTTTCTTTCCTCAGATATAGATCAATATTATGACTGCACTGATGAACGATTTATGCCAGAATTCAACCAATGCTACTCAAGCTGCAAGCCTGCTTGTCGGTACGTTAAAATATTTATTTTCAGGATCCATTTAGCATTGTAAGATATAATCCTTTATTTAATTTTGAAATTTTGCGTAGTAGACACAAAAGCTGGTATTACTCAAAACCTTAAAAATAAATCCTTTTCATTTTTTTAAAATTATTTCAAATTGTTTTTCGAAGTTTTATGTTAGTATAAGCTTTATATTATGCGTGTTCTTAGGAAGCTTATTATAGAATTGTAATGTAAAAAATCATAACTCGATTTTTCGAAATGTTTTAAAACTTTAAACGTATTTTTCTCAGAAACAGTTATTTTATATATAAGGGTCTGGAAAATGGTGTCATGGATAAATCAACATGCTATGAATGTTATATGTTGATCGAAAATATTCGGTATTTTTATATGTGTAACAGTTATTAAAAATCTAAGATAATTCTAGCAATCACCATTCTGTAGTCAGAAATATTTACCATGAAACTACCATGATATTTTTCTAAATGTACGTATTGTTATAAACATGTAAGAATTTATTTTTAAATAACAAGTTGTTATAATTTTGCTGCACTCCGTTGTCAGCTAAATTTTCCCAGCTCTGTCTAAACGATATTATTCTGACTTTCCATTTTGTAGTAGCCCATACTCTAAACTTCTGCGCCGGTAAAAATAATTGAGTCAGCTATATATTTTATTTTAATAAATGTGTAATCTTACACCACTTTGTCAAATTTCAAATTTAATTTGACTGTTATTGATTAATTAAGCAACACCACTTTGTCAACTTTCAAATTTAATTTGACTGTTATTGATTAATTAAGCAACACCACTTTGTCAACTTTCGAATTTAATTTGACTGTTATTGATTAATTAAGCAACACCACTTTGTCAACTTTCAAATTTAATTTGACTGTTATTGATTAATTAAGCAACACCACTTTGTCAACTTTCAAATTTATTTGACTGTTATTGATTAATTAAGCAATAACAGTCAAATAAATTTGAAAGTTGACAAAGTGGTATAAGATTACACATTTATTAAAATAAAATATATAGCTTGCTCAATTTACATCGCCACGAGAGGTGGCATGTCTGTAGCCAAAGGCATCACTCGTGCCTATTGTATTAAAAGTTCAGATTAAATAAAAGGGTTGTTTTAAAATCTTCTTCAGTACGTTGTGAGTTTTTAGTACATAACCACAGCTCACTAATCTGCGTAGTAAGATCTGCAGGACATAACTTCAGCTATCGTAGAAGGTATTTTCTCCCTCCTTCCAGCATGCCTTCGTGGTGTAACAGTTAGCACACTCTGCACATATTCGAGAAGGCCAGATTTGAGTCCCAGCGAGAGCACTGCTCATTTTTCACTTCTCGAGGATCAAAAACCCTAATGACTCTACAATGGCACCCGAACTAAAAAAGGGGCTAAATGACGATTCTTCACCACCAGGATTTGGCGATTGGGTCCCCTAATTCCCAGTCGCCCTTTAAAAGGTGGTACTTTCTCCCTCCTTCCAATATGCCTTCGTGATGAAACGGTTAGCATACTCGGCGCGTATTCGAGAGGTGGTGGTGTATGGTGTATTTAATTATGGCAAAGCACACTAGTGCTATCTGCCTGAGGGGGGATGCCTTTGTGGAGGACTTTCTAAGGGAAACTGGCTCGTATACACGTTACACATGTGGAAAACCATGGAGACACCCATGCAACCAGCCCGTTTGTGGGATTCGAACCTCGGACCGAACTACCAGTGTTCAGTGACTTTACCGCTCGGCCGCTGATAGGCCTGTATTCGAGAGATCCAGGTTGGAGTCCCGGCGAGGGCATTGCACCCTTTTCACGTCTCCCTCATCAAAATAACCTAATGACTCAACAACCAGATTAATAGGAATCTTAAAAATATTTGTGTTCATGAGATCGTCTTTTGGTTGGTTTCTATATATTAATTACAGTCTTAATAATATTTTTATAAGTTTTATGTATTTTTATTCATTTAGTTGTTTATTTGGTACTTTCATGTAATATATATATATTTATTTATTGGAATTTATGTTCGCTTTCCGTACTTGTAAATATTCATGTTGCGTGTTATATTGTAGATCTTTCAAATCTGGATCGATCGATGTCAAAACTGCGAAGACAGCTGAAATAGAATCTAAAATGGGATAAATAAGTATCCTAATAAACTTTCGCGATAACGTTTGTCTCCAATTTGGCAAGAATTCCATTCCACGCCAACTTGCCAACTTTTTTTTAATTCTCGAAAAACGCGATTTGGAAGCATTGGGAGTGATTTTTTTCGAAGCTTTCAGAAGTATCCCAGCAGTTCTTATATACATAATATGCTGTATGATCACATATAGTGAATCAGTCAGTTTAAAAATATACAATTGTATTGGCTTCCTGCTTGTAGATTACTGTTTTAGACCTTGCTCTGTGAGCAATATCGATGATTCGCGATTTTCCTCGCGTGTTAAGGAGAATTTCTTTTATATATTTGCTACCTTGCTTCAGCTACATGTGACTGTTAACACTGTTATGCGAGCCATGATTTCTTTCAATAAAGTATCAGTTTATTTATGTTTTCTGACGTAATTATTAAGGAGTTTTCTTCAAAGCTATACGCAAAGCATGAGGTCCATTCGTCCTTGCAGATTTATCCTTTAAATGCGCTGATGCTCTACCCGAAAACACTTTAAAACAGAAATTTTGTCCATAAGTAAATTTTATAATTTTTTCTATACTTTTAAATTAATTATTTTTATAATGTATAAAGCAATTTTTATTAATGTTTTTTTTTTCATTTTCTTAGAGATGTGAAGTATAATTATAAACTTTTGGATGTACCGGTACGTATAATTCTATTTTTATTCATAGTTTATATTTCCTATGTGCGTCAAGTGATTTATCAATAATCTAAGCATATATTTAAATTACACAAATGTCGTATTAAATTATCAAACAGTGCAAGTTTGGGATTTGAAACATATGTCCGAAAATTTTTGACAGTATCCTTAGTCATTCACAAGAAATAAATTTAATGGAAATCATGTACAGTCCTTCAAATTAAAATAATTTTGAATAACTCGTTTTCGGATTTTTATTCAACTGCTAAAGCTCAGACGAATAAAATATGATTATGAAACAGAAACCTTCTAAAACACATTTTTTAAAACTTTTATGGAAAGATCAGAAGGATTTTAATATATTCTTGAGCCATCTTTTTAAATAAAACACTTAAATAGAATCTTTAATAAAATTAAAGAAAGTGTGCACTGCTAACAAATATTACAGATGTAGTTATCTTTAGCATTTAATTTAATTACACGACTTGTCATAGCAGAAAAACTTTACAGGGCGACTCAAAAAGTGCCCACCAATGTTAATGCCAGAATAAAGAATACAAATAACATTTAAGTCATACTTCAATTTTTTCTTCAGATTACGATTAGTTTATGCTCCCTTATCATGGATGATTTCGTGCATTCCAGTAAGGATTGATATCTGATGAATACGCAAACCAGTCCATTACCTTATTTATAAAAAATATTTCGGGTAATTCAAAGCAACGACATTAAACACAAAACAATATGCGGTACTATTCCGTTTTGAGGACCGTAAAAAATTGCCAAACTATTGTTGATGCCAGTGCTGCCAAAAATAATTGCGGCAACCCTAAAGCAAGAAAGGAAGTATAATAATAAATAACTATCCAAAGATTATTGTTTTAATTTAGATGAAAGATTAATTTCATATAATACTTTTTTATTATTATAAATTATATATAAAAAGGCTAAACATAACTGAATGGATGCCTACATCGCTATTTCGCTACCGAGTTATCGCTAAAGCATAATTTAATCTTGTTGGTTGTTTCAAACATAATTTTCTATAACGAATGATGCCTTTTCTTTGAAAAATTCTCGGTAAAGTGCAGAATCGCCCACTTATTTGTTTGGCGCTTTTTACAAGGGTAAAAACAATTGGATTTTTGTCAATTTTCTTTTACTTTTAAAGTGAAAATAGGTCGATGTGTACATAGATAAAGTCAAGGGTGTGCGCAGTGCCATTTTTGTGCAATTCTGGGATTTTTTTAAGTGAAAATAGGTCGATGTGTACATGGATACCGAGTATGTGCAATTCTTAAAAATGCGCCAAGCAGTGGGTGATTCTGCACTTTCCCCAAAATTCTATTGCAGAGTTTTCGTCATGGACAATTCCAAAATTGTTAAATCCATACGATACCAAAAAAGGTTTTAAAATCAAAAAAAGACTTAAAAATTAAACTAGTACTTCAATGGCGTCTTAAGAAATAAAAAAACTATTTAAACTTATGCAATTTGAAATCAGCACGCACGCTAGATTTGCCGCGCTGTTAAATGGGCGCGTTTGCTAGATTTGGCGCTTTTGCACATTTACGCTGCAATTTTTTACGGTCCTCAAAAAGGAATAGTAAACAATCTTCTAAAACTTTTAGAGTAAACACTAAAAGTATATTACGCAAAATGGGGGTGTCTATTAATTTAAAATGAAAAATTGTTCATTCTTTACAAGATATATTAGACTACAAATTATTTTTACATTATTCTTTTATCATCGATCCGTACGGAATCATGAAATGTAAAATCTACTCTGTTAGTGAAACCTTGTTAGTTTGTTAAAATCTGGGGGCGGTTTAAAAACTGGTAATAAAGTTTCGTGTATTAGTAACATTATGTGTATTTTTATTGAGATAAAATGCACTTGTATTGTTGAATAACTTATATGAATCACTTAAAAAATTACAAATGACTAACCATAAGGATTAAAAACCATAAGATTAGCATCAAAGTGGTAATTCACAAAGACATGCAGTATGGAAAAATGCAAGCCAATTAAATAGCATTACCTAGCTAAATATAATTACTTGAGCTAATACATTTATGTTTTACTTTAAAAATAATCCCACGGCGTTTGATTTCTCAAAAACTATAGTTTTGGCATACATATTCTTAATGTAATTATTTTATCGTTCCTTATTTTATCACTATTAAATGTTTTATTTCATTTTGCAGTTTCCAAATGAATCGGATGTGTAAGTATTGGTATATTATTGGTATTTATTGATAATTAGCAATGTATTATTAAATGCACTTATTTGTTACAATTTCACCTAAATTTTCCCAAACGAAATATTTTAATTATAATACTACAGCTTTATTAATTTTCATTGCTTAATACACGAGGTGAAGAAAAGATGGCTGTATGATTTGTTGATTTAGATATTGATCATAGACATTGTATTTTTAATTGCGAAACATAAAAATAATGTGTGAGCTTTTATGAAAGCAGTTTTAGTGTGAGCCTGGAATTGTTTCCCTCTCAAACACGAAATTTAACTTTTTGTACTGCCCCCGTTAAGTAAAACATCTGCGTAGGTCAGCCATAAAGTTAGTTGCAACTCTTTGTAAAACTTTTCTGTCAAAGGCTATTTTGATGAAACTGTCCGGAACACTTCAGATTTTAGCTGCATCGTGTGACGTAGCGGCTTTCACGAGGCAATTTGAGTTTGTCTGATAATCAGTCGTAAACATGTCTCGACAGCTGCAAATGGCGCCCAAAGTGGAAATGCGTGCAGTGATTCGTTTTTTGTGGGCGAAAAGGTATAAATGCTGTGAAATTTATCGGCAGCTGCGTGAAGTCTAAAGGTTGAAATCTAAAGAGTTAAGGATTGTGGTGAAAACGTAATGTTACGTCAAGCTATCGCGAAGTGATGCGACATGTTTGAGAACGGACGTACAGATATTGATGACGTTGAGCACGAGGGAAGACCATCAACTGCCACGCATTCTGAAATTGCTGCACGTGTGAATGAATGCATTCTTGCTTAATTGTTAAAAACCGCAAAGGTTTTCTCAGTTTTATGCATGATGAGCACGTCATTATGAAAGAAGTCTCTAAATATTGTTTTAATGACGTAACATGGAAGTATTTATACGGAGCGGAATTATTCTGGAATTCAAATATACACTGCTATCCATTAAAGTTACTACGCTAGGAAAGAAAGCAAAGAGAAGAATTATATATTTATTGTACAATATACAGTATAATTACGTGAAGTTTGCAGGTGGTTTGGAGTAAATAGTGTGCAGAATTCAGTTCACAGAACTGCCCCCTCTGGCAGTAACAGGGGCTGTAATCTGGGAGCACTGGTTGCGGAGCGCCGAGGTGAACTGAGCTTGGATGCCAACTATGGGTCATTCATTAAACGCTGATAGTTTCAGTTTTGAGTCAAAAAAGCAGTCATCGCTCTGTGAGTCTGAACGTTTCTCATAGATACATTCAATTCTCAAAAACGGGTACCCGAGTGAAGTCGCTATCCCTGCGTAATGCTTCCGACTTTCGAATTTTTGTAGTTTATGGTACATATCGATGCAAATGAAAATTCAGAGCAGTAGTAAAATCTGGGAGAGTACGTAAATGAGTCCAACAGAAACACCCCTGCAGTGCAGGCCATGACGAAGGTAAGTGCGCATGATAAGCAATTGGCATGGAGAGAAGAAAAACAAAAAAGTGCCTAAAGCTCACTGAATTTGAGAGTCCTCGTGTGTGAAGTTAACATGATAGTAGTAAGTAACATAAAATAAAATTGAATATAAAGCATAGTGAAAAGTAAAATAAAATATGTACAATAGATACAGGTCAAACATTTACAGCAAAGACAGCAACGCCATAAAACAATCAGTATGAGATAGTGTATAGATACTCTGTATTTAATTTGTGACAATTAGGTGAATGCATATATTAAAAAGATAGTTTCTGATCGAGGTACCTGAGGACCTCGAGCGGTTGTTTTCTATTGCTTTCAGTATTATAGTCGTAGTTAAGCACTGGAATAGTGCTGTTGTTGACATTTGGAATATTTTTGTAGAATTTTTCAGCAAGGTTAGCAAAATGAACAGGCATCTCAAGCTCTTGGTGAACTGCCGAGTTTCTGATGAACCATCGACAGTTCGCCGCTTGTCTAAGTAATACATTTTGCAGTGTTTGAAGTTTCTGAACATAAGTAATACTAGCGTATCCCCAAACAGGACAGGCATATGAGAGTATGGGACGCAAAAGGGTCTTATAAATGAGCAATTTGTTATCAATAGAGAGAACTGAGTTCCGGTCAATTAAGGGGGTAATCAGACACTTTATTCCTTTAGTGTTCGTGGTATTGGTGTCTCTAATCCCTTTTATGACGCCCATCTACTTGCACGCGGAGTCTATCACTATAATAAGAGGTACTCTGGCAGTCAGTTTCGGGTGCTGAAATTCTGAATTATTTGCAATTTCGACTTTCTGATTTATAGGAGTTTGAAATATTCTTATTAGCATCTGCATCATTATTGGAGTTTTTGATGTTAAAGCTTCATCATTTTTTAGGCAAGAGAAGGGTGTAGGCTCTTTCGAGCTATGTGTTGAGTTCAGCTTTTATGTCCACGTCAGTAGTTAGCCATTTTTGAACTTTTCATTTTAACTTCATCTTCATCTAGCGAGATTTTATCATATGGATTTAATACAGAAACGTTACACTCAAGACCTCATTCTGCACTGAATTTGTCAAATTCTGCACAGTATCTGCTGTATATAAAGCATATAATTACTATGCAACTATCTACATTGCGTGTGCATTACCTGCAATACCTTACAACCTGTTGTGTATCTGATTTTGCACTGTGCATTTGTTCTGTGAGCAATGTGTATATAAAAAGTACTGTGTACCTACTTTTATCCAATAAACACTGTGCATCTAATATAATATAAAATAAGCTCAGCGCATTCTATAACATAGTGTCTCCACTACAGTTATTGCCTGCACATCATATCTGTATTACTCAAACTATCTGTATTATATCTGCACTGTATCTGACATATGCATAATGTATAATTCATCTATATCTATAAATATTGTATCTGCATTACCTGTATAATCTCATAGCTTCGCATAGAAATATATATCTTGGCAACATAGCATGCATGGTGCTGCGTACTATAACTGTGTGTATACAATAGTATAGATTTTTTTTAATGTGTAAGTATAATTGTGGTTTATATAATTGTGCACAATTGTGTTATATACCGTAGTATAGTGTTTTATTCTGCGTTTAATACGTTAGTATAATTGTGTTTGCATAATTGTACACCATAACTGTGTTGTATATAGAGTAGTATAGTATCTATTTCGTTGTACAATTGTGCGCAGTATAAATTCTAATATCTAATGCTTTACAAGCATAGTGTATCTGTTTTACATTGTTGTATCAATTCTGTAATTATTATGTATATAAAAGCGCTGCATATCTATTCAAATTAAATAAGTATTGTGTACCTGATATAATGTACTTAAGAAGCATAATGTATTCTACAGACGTAAAGTTTCATGTGTAATTACTAATCATCTAATAACATAAATTTATATTCTACATTGCATACATAAAACTTTATGTATGTTTATTGCTGCATGTTACATTATATGCGCATCTAAATGTGTCTACGTGATCTATATGCGTCTTTAAATGTGTAAGTGTATACTATATATTAGCTTATTTATATTTCATTATAAGTATATGTTTTACTTTACTTTCATTATAAGTATATGTCTTCATTATAAGTATATGTTTGTATAAGTGTGTGCAAACTAAGTATCTAATTTCTATTTTTATATGATGTTGCTTACATGTTTTATATGTGTTATATATGTGCTTTTATATGTGTTTTACAAGTGTTTTGTATGTATCTTTATATGTGCAATTGTATGTACTGTGTATGTGTATGTATATGCTGTAATTTAGTGTCTAACAGTGTCTAAAAACCAAGATGTAACAAATCATCCGCCTATCGATCAAAACTAATGTATTCCTAAGACGCCTCTGTATGGCCATGTACAATTACGTAAAATTCTTCAATAAACTCCCAAGGTGGCCTCATGAGGCTCCTGGGAGTTGCTGCCACTAGATAGGGGAGGGCGCGGGACATATGCCTGTTTACCTCTGTTAAACATCAGGCGTCCCCGTCCTCCGTCACCTGTCACCTGTCAGGCTTATTGGGTGTTTATTGTTGGAACACGCTGCGTCATCTTCAATGTACATAGATTCGGCATTTGCCTTTACACTGTAAAATTTGGGAACTGGAGAAAGTAGCTGTGTGGAACTCAGCATCGATTAATTCATCGTAGGTAGGAACAGTGGCAGGCTTACCATGAAATATAGCAAGCTGTTAGTTAAATTCAAGATTGAGAACTCCTTTAATTTTGATCAGGATGTCCATTTTAATAGATTCGTTTACGCTTAGGGATCTAATTTTCTCCTGTAGTGACTACAGACTGTGAACATCTTCTGCAATAAAATCCAAAATTCGTTCCCTAATTCAAATCTAGTTTCAAATCAATGAAATTTTAGCAAACGACAATAAAACGATACAAGTGCCGAAACCCTTTACGCTTATAAAACCGTTTTGCAGCGCGCTTGGAACCAAAGTTCGACGTTCCATCCTTTCATGCTTTGTTATAAATTGTCCTTTTACAATACCTTGATGCTATGGTACCGCAGGCTTCCCATAATTCTAAATTAAAGAAAGAAAGTTATAATCGTAAACTGTAATCAGAGGATTTATTGCACATGAGGATGGCCTGACGGTCAGCGAGTTTAGTGTACTAAATGTAGTCTATTAAGCAATTATAACAGTTTCTGTGAAAGAGCTATAGTCCCTAGAGTCGAGGCATCTGGCCGAATCATTTTGCTATACCTGAAGTAAATGCATCGAGATAAAATTGAAATAAAAATTGCTTGCCGAAAATAAATTATTGATATCTGAATGCCTGATATCTGCAATGTGTACTTCTGAATACCTGTAGAGAATCATCCTACATGTTTCGAAGTATAAGAAATGTAGCGTAAATGATGGTATTCTTGCTGCATCTTTAAGATGGTTTCGCAAGATTTCCTCGCTCCCCCTCTGCATTTGGAATAGCAGGACAGTACGGGTTTGTTCTTGTGTTACATGATTTATATTAATCGTTAAGAAATAATATCTTTATTTGTTATAGTATAGTATTTTTTATTCGTTTACATCAATCTAGTCCCTTAAATTTACCCGATTTCTTATTGGAATTAATTAAATTTGTAAATAATGTCCTGCTAATTACTGGAACAAAATTTCGATGAAATAATTCTTTTTTCTAGTTTTTAGATTCTTACAACATAGTATATAAACCAAAAACATAAAAAATATTAAGTACTTTTGTCTGATGCTTTGATTTTCATTTGCATATTACTGCTTCTATGTATATCATCGCACTCGCTTTCTCTTTCACAGATCACTTATTGAGATCCGTTTCCCAAAGAGAGAAATTTTAGTTATGTCACATAAAAAGAAATATGAGGTAAGTATTTTCAAATAAATATGCTATACTTTTCCCCAAACACATCACTGCCTAGACAAACGTGAGAGTTTTAGAAGACTTTTATTGCTACATCTTCTTGAATTGCAAAGAGATATTACAAAGAATCAATACTGTATATTTACAAGTTTTGATGCAAAAAATAAAAGAAAAGGTAAAAATAATAGTATAGGCAATGAGTGGTATCAAATTTGTTGTCATATTAAGAGCCACCAGTGACCAAGTATTAAAATCATTGACCTGTTAGTTTGAGCCAGATTCAAACATTAGTTACCATTACACTGTCATGAATTAAGCAAAGTCGAGTGCCGTTAGAGGCGGTACTTCAGCTGAGCTGGTAACGTCATGCCTCGCGCGATAAACCAGAGATAATTCAATACTGGTTTCACTATCAAATACCAGCAAACGGGCTGGCTGGCAAAGAACTGGCTCTGCATTCACGCTATGCATGGAGAAAACCATTCTCCATGCATAGCGTGAACACAGAGCCAATTTCTCTTACAACGTCTAATACAAAGGAACTCCTTCCCTTAGGAAGATAATTGCTTTGTTGCAATTCTGACGCAAAGCTCCATTACATCTAGGAAACAGTTTGAAATGCCGAATCAAAGTACACCGATAGGTTGCAAAATTTTTGCTTGACTAAACGATTCTCATTTAACTAAGCCATCATTAACTATTGTTTCCTTATTTAAGAACTGTGTCAATTCGTGTTTAAAATGAATGTAAAGAACACAGACTTGCATTAAACAAATAATGTAAAGAAGCGCAACACATCTCCTATCTAAATCTGCTGACCTCCCCTAAATAAGCGAAAAGTCGAATACTTGTACAGAAAATATCAAATTTACCTGAGACGTTCATTATACACTTTCAAAAATCATCTAGAATAATGTCATTTGTCATCTCAATATCTTTAAAACATTAATATTTTTAAAAATTCTTTTTAACCTTTAAAAATAGATTAGGATTTATTAATTTATTATATCTCCCATTTGTTAATGTAAAACGATTTGAATTATTTCATTGTCTAGAGGAAGGCATCCTATTTTGTGCGGCTCACATTCCTTTTTTTCTCTCACCTTCCGCGTGTCTGCTTGGATTTATATATATATTGGTTTCCAAAAAGTAGGGAAAAATCACAAAAATAGCGGTAACTGGTTCAAACATAACCCAATCCGTATAAAATTTGAATGTGTTGTGAAATAAGACTTGCTGAGTAAAACTGCAGTATTCAAATTAATGGTGTTGCAATCGAAATACATCATCTGCGATGAACATAAAATTCCATATTTCAGAGCAAGCCTGCAAATCTCGTTATTTTACTGAGATAAGAAATATGTGGGATAGCCAGTTTGTAACAATGAACTCCAGGCATCATTTCCCAAAGAACTGCGATGGAGAGCTGTTGGGAGACTAGATACAAGACAAAGTCAGAAGAGGAGTGGCCATATAGTTAAATGTGAGACCCTTTGTAGTTCATAGACTTCGGCAACAATTTCTAACCATAAATTCGGCATTCAGGAGGTTCAGCCAAGGACCACCAAGCGCTACGACGAGCTCGGATGACCGAAATGTGTTGTTATAAAAGCACCTCAACTCCGAAGGAATAGCACCTCAACTCCGACTCAACTCAGATCCTCCCTTATTGCAGCCACTGGAAGGTTGGTGTAAACGTCAGACATGCGTAGAATGACTGACGAAGGATATCTGTACGCGATGCAGCCAGACATTTGTGTGCCGCTCACATCATATCATAAAAGAGAACGTTTGAGTTCGGCTCGTCAACCCACTGGACAGCTGATCTGTGGAGGACTGTTCTCTTTACGAATGAGTCCGGATTCAGCCTCCAAAGCGATAATAATCATTATTTGATTTAGAGAAGATCTGGAACCCGTTATCATCTATCAAACATCCCTGATAGAGAGGGATACGGAGGAAGCAGTGATTGTGTTTAGAGTGGTATCTCTTTGGGTGGAGGCACAGACCTTCATGCCTTTCCACGTGGAACCATGAATCTCATGCTTACAGAGATGACATTCTTGATGCTTATTTACGCTCTTATGGAGGGGCAATAGGTGATAATTTCCTGCTGCAAGACGACAACCTAGAACACAGAGGGCACGCATCGTGGATGATTACCTTCAGCAAGCAAACAATTCAGTGTACGGATTGGCCAGCTCGATCACCGGGCTTGAATCCTATCGAGCATGTTAGAGATACTTTAGGGCCTGAATTTTATCAAGCATGCCAGAGATACTTTAGGGCCTGAATCCTATTGAGCATGTTGGAGATACTTTATTGCCTGAATTCTATTGAGCATGTTAGAGATACTTTAGGAAGACCTGTAGCTGCATTCAGTCCTCCTCTTCAGACGCTTGCAACTGCTTTGTAAGAGCAATCACTCTCACTTCCTACGGAACTTATAGACTGCATAATTGATCGCAACTCACATCGCTTTATGTGTTGCATTGCTGCTATGGGAGATCATACTGAATATTGAAGGTAATTTTTCTATACTAAACTGACACATCCGACTTGTTCATTTTATACATATGTTAATACCATAACTGTCTGGCAATTTCTATTCATGTTATTTTATACCTTACTATGTGATAGATACTGGGGTCAATTTCATTAAATTCTGCATGTAAAATTTTGAGTAATCGTAATTTTTGTGAATTTTCCTTAACTAATGATAACCAGTGTATATATATATGCACCGTATAGGAAAAGCCAGTATTGAATCCAGTGTGTACATATGTGTGTATACACACACACACACACACACACATATATATATATAACTAATGCAAGGAAATTAAAAATAATACAACCCTTATTAGATTGTGCCTATATAGACAAAATGTTAATAAATTCAAATGAGAAGTCAAAAGTTAAACCTGATTAACTATGCAATTTATACGCCAACTCCAATAACGGTTTAAATATAAACTAAATTAAATTTTCCAGCTTGTTTCCCCGAATTAAATTTAGTTAAATTTTAAATTATTTAAAATTGCATTCATTAAATTAAAGGATATTGAAGAACGGAAGTGAATCTGGTAAATGTTATTTCCTGTCCGTTAAGAAAGAGCTATCAGTTAAAGCAAATACAATTTAAAATGACATCCAAAAAATCGTCCTATTTTCCATTTCTTGATTATGTTATTATGTATATATATATGTTGCTATTATATATATATACAGCTATTGTTTATGCGAACTAAATTTAGAAGGAAATGTGCAGAGATTGTGTTGCTTTGATATATTTACCTAATATAGCTCATTAAAAACTTTATTCATATCACGGGCCCCTTGTTCTTTCCTTTACACAAAATGTTAAGTATATCCTAATATATCAATCCAAGTAAAATATGTCCCCCTAACATTCCAGCATTCCCTAAGGAAAGTTTTGTTCCCACTCGTGAAACCAAAAAGCAAAAATGGGTTTGAAGATTCCCAATATGGCCGACTGTTGACCTATTTCTCTTTTCTATCAATAGTATGGATATTTTAAGAAGTTTAAAAAGATTCTTAAAGGCATGCAATTTTAATTTTAAATGCAGAAATGTTACGATGATTTAATTCAAACAAATTTGAAAGCAAATTACTTGCATAATTTAAGACAACATAGCTCCAGTGCGGTAGGTATACCTCTGCTGCTGGAGATTAACTTAATAAATGCAAACTTATTTTAAAATATAAAAAAGTAAGAATCAAAGGATGATTGCTTTAAGTAAAAATCTTACCTAAAACAGGCAAACCTTTTACCAGAACACATTGCTGCTTTCGTTAAGGAACCAATTAATGGAAAGCACCGAAATTATCGCAATGGGTGAGACATATGTAAATATAATTCAAAATTTATATTTTTACCATTTCGGAAAAAATCAATTTTCCTTGAATTCTTTTTAGGGGGTGGAATTATTTAGCAACATCGGTGGCTTCATGGGCTGTTGGATTGGATTCTCTATTTGTTCCATACTTTCTCTTTTCGCTTATATATTTCATATTGCTAGAGATGCTATTTTTTGCAAAGGATGTTCTTCAACGAAGAAACCAAATATGTCGCAAGTTTAAGAAAGTTCGCTTTATATTGTCTTTTAAATGTCAGCTATTCATATAAATATCTTGCGTAGAAAATGAAACCTTTGTGAACTGCTTTTGAATGAACTTGCAATACCAAAAGATAATGTTTAATCATATTTAAATGGTTAGAAGTTGGAAAACAACAAGCCAGTTATGTATGAGGATGTAATCAATAGGAACTAAGTCTGGAAATGCTGAACGCTAACATGCCATATCGATGCAGATATAATAACACGCTGTTTACAAAAGCAAAATGCTACTTTCTGTTATCGTATTAAACATTAGCTCATAGGACAGCTTTCAGGAATGGATGTACCTTAGTTCTGCGACTAAATACGTATAATATTGAACGTCAATATACTCGGAGAAAAAACTAAACGAATTTATTTAAATGATATTGCATCACAGATGTGCCAATAGGACGTTTTGTATTGAAGGCTTCTTGAAGTTGTCTTCAGATCAATTTCTAGCTGTCACAGGTCCTGACACAAAAGCGAAACTCCTCGCTGAAAACATAACCCTCCATTCTAGCCAACATTGCCACCTAAAAGATACACCATCATAACTATCAGAATCCTGGAGCACTTCAGTGTGATAATTTGTATAGATTATGCTGCATTTCAGAGCTTAGAATATGTCATGATGTCCAAAAATCAGAGATAGAGACTCACTAAGTGATTTCCCTGTGTCACTATGTTACTCTGTGTCTGATCACTTAAGCAGAAGTTCATCCGTAACCACCGTTTGCTTGATTTAGTCATATTTTGACTAAAATGTCTGATGATTTGCCGCCGTGCTAAACAAACACTTTGTAAACTCAAATAGCTTTTCTTCTCCTCTAAGCTATCTCTCTCAGCTTGCGAGAGGTAACGGTAGGAGATTCGTGGAACGAAATCGAGGCATCGCATTATCAATGCATGAGAATTAATATGATTTCTGAAGTTTCGTATAGAGAGAAATATTTGCAATAGATCAGGCTTTTATACAATTTAAGTCTCCCTCACTTTTGCTGATAGAAGCTCAAAGTTACAAAATTCGATATTTTGCTTCTCTTAGCTACAGTTATATCCCCTCTCTCAAATTTGCTTGAATTTACTGCTTTTTATTCTTGGTATTGCAATTTCAGTTTGGAGAAATGTATGCTATTTTATTAGAAATTGAAAAAAATCTGTATTAAGCTATATCTCTTCAATGGATTATATTCATTAAAGATTATTAACACAAAAAATTGTATTTTTCTTAGGCATCCCTTCATAATTTTTCTATATATAATGTTTTCAGTAGTAACTAATCACATCTTAGTTGTGGATGGCACCTTCCCCCTCGAAAAGAAATGATACTTATAATTTAGAAACTAGTCCTTTGTTGTATTTATCAAATTTTATTCATTTTCAGCCAGTGCAAGACATTTTCAAAATGCATATTTTCTACTGCAATAAATCCAGTAACTTAACAATAATAGCAACTATAAGGATCAGAAACAAACTGAATTTCTGAATGAATATAAATGCTCATAAGAAAAAAACCAACATATTCTGTGATGGACCTATTAGACAAACCGTGCCCAACAGCGGCGAATCTGTAAAGTCATTGAATATTACAGTTCAATCTGGGTTAAATTTGAGATCAGAAGGCTGGCTGCAGAGGCCTTTCTTGGACCTTTTTCATATGTAACGTGCATACGAGCCATTTCCCCTTAGAAAGCCCTTCAAGGAAGCCTCACTCCTATACCATAAAAAAAAATAAAATCAAATCAAACCTAGACAAACCATACCAGAGAAAGCAGTTAGTGTTTCCTAGGACCACTAGGCAAACCTTTTATGCCAATGCGCGCAGAGAAAACTTCCACTTAGTGCTCACTCGAGCTATCACCTGAAGTTTATCAACCAAACAGCAGAGCAGAATGCGAAGAAATGCTGGTAATCGAACTTTTGGTAACTTTTCTTAAATATTATGATAGCAGGTTTCGCATTAAAAGATTGATCAATTCACTATTGAAAGATGGGTTTTGATCAATTCACTATTGAGAAATGGGAATTAAAATTACTTTTTCCAGTTAATATAACGGAAAACATTTTGGAGGTTTTTTATTGTTTCGAAATATTGTAGATGAATTAATGTACCAAAGAGTTTGAAAAAAATTAGGAGAAAGTTGGATATGTTATAAGTGCATGAAATATCTGCACATGTTAATGTTTTTATCATTTATTGCCATAAAATGGGCACAAATTGGCAAGAAAAACTTTCATTATTGTTTTCTATGTTATTAATATGTAAAATATGTAGCATATATTTTATGACTGGATACTGTAAAAACCAAATAGATTTGCTGCGCATAGACCTTTGTTCAAATAGATTATAGTCGGATAAACGTAGCTATCGATAAAAGCACTGAGACACCGTAAGCATATTTTCGTCTACAATGGATATCCCCGATAGAAAGCTTCTCAAGGCTAGCATCTCTGAAGAAAATCAGAATCATCTAGATATAGAAAATTAGTGATAGCATACTAAATCTAGTAAAATATATAGCTAAATATTAAATATTTTTAATTAATTGTGCCACAATAAATAAAGATAATTTTTAAACTATAATGACTATTTCATTGCTTTGTGTTAATGCCATAATCGAAAATAAGGATGATAATAATTTACTTACTACACTGCATAGTGCCAAAATAGAATTTTGATTTCTTACTTGTAGCTACTTGATGTGGTCATTATTCCCGACATAAAGCTACCAATCAAACATAGTTTTTCTACAATATTAAAATAGTTCTTAAAGTTCTGTCGAACCGGATCGAAGACAAGCGGCGGTCCACGTACATCTTCTCTAATATTTTTTATTTTTGCACTTGACGAATGAAATTTCAACGAATTTTAATCTTGCTTGACTAATAAGTAATTATTTTTTACACACAAAGGATAATTTTTAGACGAAAACAGAATAAAATAATTCTCAAACCTCGTGGCTTCTTTCAAACAAATGGGCCTTTTCCTCGAGGTTGTTAAATTATTTCAACATTCGTGTGAAAAATCTTTTACCGGGAACTACATTCGGCGAACGAATAAAATAGTATTCGTAGCCGTTTCTTAAAGCACTCCCCGTTATATGACCATAAAAGCGTAAGTAAGAAAGTTTGAAGATTTTCTCAGCATCGTTGCTTGGATAAGCGAAAACGAATATCTTGACGTTCTTAGCTGCTGCAGAGATGATAGGGAAGACGCAAAGGGTCCCCTATTCTACCTTACTCGCCGTTTCAAGAGGGGACATACTACCGATATAATCGATACCGAAACGCAGTTGCATGGACCTCCGACCTAAGGTTCTACACCAAATCATAGTTATATGTCCATGCGACGAAAAGGAATCTACCATACACCGCCAGTGGCATTCACTGAATCAATGATAGTAATATTACAATGCTAAATTGATAATGCCATCTATACAATAATTGTTACATAATAATCCGTATGAAAAATAAATATACGATCAATTAATAACTACATTGTCATGGATAGGATCTATGTTGTGGAGAGTGGAACTTATATATTAACTAGTTTTTAAACCTATGTCTTCTTCAATACGTCATAACTTCATATTCTTATCAGTTACGCACCTAATGATCTGTGTCCGTATTATTTTTGCAGTTATCCACAGAGTAAGCTAGTCAGATAAGGCAGTTGATAGTTCCATAGCCCAAAGTATATGATGTTGTGTAGGCTATTCTATGTTCATATAAACTGCATTCTAAGTTAACGTTTGATAAATTCGAAGTACACGTTTGTTAAGTTCATTTTTCAAGTAAATACTACTTGTCCACTTCGATACATCATAACTTCGTGTCCTTAACAGCTTGCACACCTCATTATGTGTGTCCATAGCAATTTGCACACTGTGTCGCAATTATCCACAAGGGAATCACGAAATTGCAGCTGGGAAGTTCATTGTAATATGTACACTACTTTACCATTATCCACAGAAGCAAATGTTTTGTAAATAATGACTTGGCTCCCAGACGATAAAAAAGAAGGAAACTAATTCTTAAATTTTTCAATACAATTCTAAATTGTGCAAAACTACAGATTTGATAAACAGTTCCAGTCAATACAAATTGACTGGTATTCCAACAATATAAAGCACATATTCTAAAATAAAACGTCTAATGGAAAACAGGAACTAATCCCCAATTGATGATGATGATGATGTCGTGTCTATGACAAAGTGCAATTACATAGCTCCGAAGCTGTCAAAGACAGCTTTTGCAACCTCGGCAGCTCTATCAGTGTAAAGTAGGTCCCCTGGGTCTTCAATGCCGATGTTAAACAGTCTATTCTGGATTGTTGGGCAGCTGAAGATGTGATGGGCAGACAGTGGGATGTCATCTGGACAATGAGGACAAATGTTGGTGTAATTACGCTGTCCGTCTGCAGAAATCCTCATCCCTTTTAAGTGATTTGTCCTAAGTCTGGTTACAATAGTCGATATGGCTTTGTCACAGTTCAATTCCGGGATGGAGTTTCCTTTAACTTGACCGATTAGTCTTTGGCTGGCAACTGCATTGGCATCAACGAGGGTTAGGCAGTTGGATGGCTGAGGAGAATCACGGGATGCCTTTGCAAGCTCATCGGCCTTCTCATTACCAAAAATATTTACATGAGCCGGTATCCATTGTAAGATGCAGGATCTTTGGCCAGCAATGATTTTGTTTGTGAGCTCAATGATCTGATGACTGAGTTGACATTTGCCCTTCTGGATCGCTTGAAATGCTGATCTGCAGTCAGAGAAGATGATGATGCCCTTGGAACTCTGGTCTTCTTTAGAGAGATAAATCTCCAGAGCACTTTTGATGGCGACGAGCTCGCATGTATAGTTGGAGGCGATTTTCCCAACAGGAATACTGTGGCATTTCTGCACTTCGTCTGGTCCGATGAAAAAGACTCCCGCTCCTCCTCTGTTCAGATTGGAGTCGGAAGAGCCGTCTGTGTAGTCGATCGTCAGATCTTGAGTTGAGGTCATGAGTTCCTCAATGGTATGTTCACCCTTTTCTTTGATTATTGCCGGTGAGACCTTTCTTGGTACAAGGCTGTAAGAGATTTAAATAAATTTTTGCTTGTGGGAGAGGGCCAATTAAAATTCCCAATTAAAATAGACATAAAATACGTAATTATTCAGCACATATTATATACCAATCATCATACCATAAAAATACACATGTTGCAAATGCTGCAACTAATCTTTTATTACAGTTAGAATATTTACCAATCAAACCGATGTAACACGAATAGCTGAATTGGCCAGCAAAGCGCTGGTGAGTTCTCACAACGCACGCATGACATGAATAATTCTGGCGTCGGGTATCCCGTCGGAACCGAATTAGTGGAGGGGAAAGGCAAAAGGGGTATAACCTTTTTCCACTTGCGTCAAGACTGCATGAGAAAAATGGTCAGAGTCTTCTTGCGTTAAAATACGTGGCGTCTAGGAAGTAGATGCTGTTCGTCAGGCAAGAAGATCTGAGGTGATCAAGAGCTCTTGTGAGCCAGTCCGGATGTTTTAGCATACGATAGTTCAATGGTGGAGCTTGATCCACGAGCAGGTGGAGTTCTTCGTGGCTGGCTGAGTGGTGTAGGTTATGTTATCTGGAATGATGTGTTTCTCATATGACATGTGCGGAACTTTGAGGTACTTTCTTGGAGTTTTCCATCTTTTCAGAAATACTCAAATGCAAACTCAAATGCCACGTATTTTAACATGATATACAGTACAAGCACATTGAAAAAAATTAACTATAATAAGGGAAATTATAAAACTATTAACTATAAAATGGGAAAATTCTGAAAATGATTCCGTGTACTTTTCCTTTTAAAAATCTGAGTATATGATCCTTCCAGTTGTAGTTCTTGTTTAGGGTAACTCTCAAATAATTTGCCTTATCAACTCTAGGAAAGCTTTTACAGAATAGTTTAACTTCAGTTCTGGCACATTCACGTTGTCTGCGTTTTCTGATGAGAAGGATTTTGGACTCTTTCGACTGGATACACGTCTTTGAACGACTATCGCTGGGATTTTGGCTTGAATTCCTACCAGGGTATGATTTGGATTTAGACCTAACTAACTGCATTGTAGTAGATAGTCCTTTACTGAAACCGTGCTGGTGATCAACGAGAAAATCCAAGTTTTCTTGCATTTTCAGACAAATAATTC